CGTAAGAATGCCATTTCGGCATTTATGCCAATACCAATACGTGTTTTATTCCTCGCCACATTCGTATCCGCATGTTTCCATTTGGCACTTTGGAAAAAAATGGGGGAATGAGAATGGAAATATGCGCGCACGATTTTGATTTGTACATCGGCTGCTAAATAGATCAAATGGCATTACATACGATATGAGAAATATGTGTGGCATGCAAGAATGTATTTCTCTCTCTCTGCTCATTTCGCTTCGTTTTGTGCGTTCATTCTATCTGTCTCGATCCATGGATCGTCTTCGTTCTCTCTGTTTCACACAAAATACGTTCAAAACATTTGGAAACGACGAGAGAGTGAGAGGAACAAAAAAAACAACAACTTACATACGCACAGGGCAACGGTTTACGTGATTTATGTTAAATGAAATTGCCAACGAGAGTGAGGTTTTGTTGCGCGCCTTCAAAATGTTTCGAATATTATTTCAAATAATTTAAAAAGTGGCTGATACCGAATGGAATTTCTCGCATATTTAGATATGCGCATGACGACCGATTTATTATCATTCACATTTCTCTATGTTTGGTTGACTAATAAACCGTCGATAATTTGCTTACACACTCAGTTAACTCCCGGCAATTTTCAACCGAATCGACCTTGTAATTTCATCGGTCTTTCGCATTCACAATACATACACCGCACACACACACTCAATGTTTTCATTTGCATTCACCGTGATGCAATCATTTCAATTGGCTCTCGAATTATTTTCAAGCATTTTAAAGGATCCATCTTTAATAATAAAAATACGAGAAATATCACCCCGTCCCAACGGAGCATTTATACGGGCAATTTTCTCTCTCGGCTCTCTCTGTCTCTCAACGATCTTGGATGATTGCTTCGCGTCAAAACAATCCCATCTGAATGGAATACAAAATGTGCGCGGCTCAATGTAATAAAAAAAAACATGCACTTTTCTCTCTGACGAATAATTTCTTGTACAAATCGTCATATTCGACTAATAGGATTATGTTTAGAATAATAACAATCTGATTATAAAAAATATATGACACGCACATTTCGAATAAAATGAAAAACGAAAAAAAAAAATGTTCTGCTTCGATGAATGCGTAAAAAACATCGCACGCAATTTGTCTGTATGACTGCAACATAAGTGAAACAATCACTTTGCCTTGTACGACGTCGACGTGAACGTCAACAACAGACTGAACATATCAAATCTTTTTTCAAAACATATAATCCAGACGATTAGCAGCTCTTTTTTTCCAACTTCGCTGCTTTCACTCTTTTCAACAAATTCCAAATTCATTCACTTTCAACCACTGTTTGTTCAACAAAACATCGACAATATCCATATATATTCGATTGCTGCTCATGTCACCTATTCAGACACTTCAAGAGACATTTGTACCCGTACTCCAGATTGGCCACAAAAAAAAAACGCACACTCAATTTCAGTTCGATGATTCGTTTCTTGATTTTTAGGTGAGACAGTCATCAAGAAAAAGCTCAGATTTGCCATCGAAAAGTAAATTTATGAATTGTTGGATGTGTTGATTTTTTGACGATGTTGTGATTCACAATCAGTACTAATTCAAACATAATTTGTTTAAAGTCGAACAATATTTGTGTAATCATCAAGAGCAAACTGCAGGAACCGGTGCTATTTTGCATAAATTTTTATTCGGGATATTTAATTAGATCGATGAAAATTCATGACGATTCGAAACAAAGACTTAAGAAAGTTCAGAATTCAAATTCGGTTCAATCGGTCGATTTCTCAGGCCAAAACAAACAATGAAAAAACGACAACGAGAAAAACATTATGTACAATAGTTTGACTAGATCCAGATCTTTTGTTTCTACACTTCGAACGATTGTAATTCTTGTTCCCCCCTGCCATGCCTCGACTACTTACCATCGCACTAAATCGATAATATTTTCGCTTAATGAGATCCTTTAAAAAAAAACACACACAATATATGCACCGAATAGGATGAAGAATCGGAAGGTCGGCATCGATATGAGAAAAACAGGACATAAAACCAATAAACAACACATGAGCAAAAGAAAATTTAACAAATTACTTTCGAATAGTGGTTGTGTATTGTGTGGTTGTTTTCGTTGTGCTGGGATATTTGTTAATATACACATCTTTTTCTTATATATATAGTTTTTTTCGGGCGCGCTGTCGGTGTGCTCTAAGATTATTTTTTTTAAGTAAGCAAATTCTCACGTCGATAATAATCGCACGACAATAATTGATGTATGTAGACCTATATGCTGGAATGCCGTGCTTAGAGCCGAAAGAGCGAAAAGGAAGGAAAAAAAAAACAAACATGATCGGTTAAGACACACGCACACATTAACTTCTTGCATTGAATTGTCGCATGGAATATTTCTTTTGTTGATGCCTTGACGTCGCGAACCGCATGCCGTGCACTGCTGTTCAGCTCGTTGTATTGTTGTTGTATTTTTCATTTCGATGGAAATTTCTTTTAAATGTACACATTAATTGCAAAGATCCAGATTTTTATTTGACTTCTTCTCATCCAAGCGCATATTCTCATTCTCTTCGTCTGTTTCGCTCTCGTTTATACAAAAGGACGCGTATGTCACAATGCGCGTTTCCTTTGTTATACATTTTTTTTTATTTTTCGCTCTTCTGATTATTAAATAACTTTAAAGAGAAAAAAAAAACTTTTGATTCCATTTCTTCGTGCGATTGTTTGCTTCCATTTTTCTCATTGCAATCACAACCCCGACGCGTACTTGAAACTCTTTTTCTCGTTTTTCTTTCGCACAATTCGGCGCTTGTTTTTGTATCGTTACCTTAATAACGGGTTCCAAATCGCGTACACACTCTCGCACTAAAAACAGCATCGATTTTTCTATTTCCAACGCGGAATTCAATTTCGAATGATGAACATGACGAGAAAAAAAAAATATAAACTTGATTTTTCGTACACACATAAAATGAGTGTGCACTTTTCTTCCAACAGTGCGATCAATTCAATTCAGCCAGTATATATAAAATGTACCATAATAGAGTGAAAACGCGTTTTGTTTCAACCAATTTCCAACGATTGATACTCATTCCCTTCATTTCAATGTTTATTTCTCAAAGAATCGCATTTGTTTTCCTTGAAAAAAAAAATACTGCATGTTTTGTCATTGTTAGCTGAAACAATGTCACCGTATGACATTTATTTTGCTTTAATTTGAACATTTTTTTTCGCTCCTTTGACGAAATTTGTTCATTCGTAGCGAAAACAAGATGTGAACAACATAAAATTCACATCGAATCAATGCATTGTGCATTGTTTAAAGTGATCGCTTTTTCGATGCTTCTAATTATGCTCTTGCAGTGCTAAACAAATATTTTGTATGACGGCGATGAAAAAAGTGCATCGACGAAAATTCTAATTTGTCGACACCATATAAAATGCATTCAATCAAGCTGTGACGACTTTGCTATCTCTCTCTCTCTCTCTTTCCCTATCTCTCTCACACATTTTCCCTTGAATGCTCTGTCTTTCACTCACATTCTATGTGGAACATCAAATCCATCGACTTAATGAACATTTTTTGATAAAACCGAAAAATTAAATTCCATAGATTTTCATTTTCCGTTTTATTTTATGATTTCTTCGGAACGTTTTTTTCTTATTAAAATGTATTTAACATACGTAGCGATTCCTTTAAAAATCAATTTTATTTGAGATTCGGGGTTTTTCCAAAAATTTCAATGAAAAATCCATCAAAATTAAAATGGTTTCCATCTTCTGAAATGTAATATGGTACGCAGAGAGTGTATATTGCAAGTCGATGTCGTCATCATTATCATGGTTGTGGTGGTGCAGTTTAAACGGTAACACAATTTGCTGATTGCCGTTAAGTGAAAGCGTATCTGTTTTTGCCATATCCACCAACCGTTTTGTTTAAAAGTCCTCCCAACACACACACACAGGCTTCCGATGTTATGATCTCTCCCGCAACCATGGTATTTATAAAACATTGATGGCGCTTTTAAATGTTATATGTATAAAAAAAACGTTTTCTGAATGAATAAATTTCATCATTATTTCACAAAGAAACAAACAACGACCGGCGCATTGTTGCGCAGCATAAAGACCGATCTATAACGAGAGAACGAAAAAAAATGTGAGTAGCTAGGATGAAAGTGAAGAGAATGTGAGCGAAGGAGAGAAAAAAAGGTCGGCACGCACATTAGAAATTCACCGAATTCAAACAAATCAATAAAACCAATGGCAACAAAAGAACAATCGACAATATTTCGTCGCTTAAAAATAGGTAGCAACTTTTTTTAAATTCACATTTACACAGTGATTATACATCAGTGAATATTTGAACGAATTGTGACATGTATGCACAAATTTTTTTTTATTTGAATCTACCAGAAAAAATGCGTTTTAACAAGATTTCAAACGTTTTAGTTTTGTTGAAAGATAGACATTTTTTGTTTGCATTTTCCGTGTGTCAGAACTTTACATCAACACTTTAAATGCAGCCGATTTACGCAATCCTTTTGCGAATGTATGTGATGGGCTTGTGTGAAATTGAAAATAAATTGCATAAAACGCAACGAAATCAAAAAAAGGCGTAAGTTTTTTTTTATCATTTTGCCAATGAATAATTGAAAATGGTTCGCTTGAATGGTGCGGTAAGATAGATGAGCAATATATTGATATCGAATAATGGATCAAATCAAATGGAATTGACGTCATTGCCAATTCAATCGACGAACGGATAATTAATTTTTTTTTTGTTAAAGTTTTCACTTTAGAGTTTTCTCCCAAAAAAGAACACGCACAATCATCATTGAATAGTTAGTTGATCAATGTATTATTTCATTCATTATTTTCAACAATTTCCATTTTTTTAAATATTTCAATGAAGCAATTGATTTTTTTCCATTTACTATATGTATTTTATTACGTTGTCAATATTTGTATGTTTGTTTCGTATTTGCAGAGCTAGATGTTGGTTTACATTCGGATGAGACAGGGTCGGGTGAAGGTGAAAATTCAAATGGTGGCTGCTCGATAATTGGCGGAATAACAACCGGTACGGATAGCGATGATCAGGCTCGATTACGTTTGAAACGTAAATTACAAAGGAATCGCACTTCATTTACAAATGAACAAATCGATAGTTTAGAAAAAGGTATATATCATCCATTTGTTGGCTCCTTCCTTTACTTTTGTATACTAAAACTAGTTAAATTACACTGTATTCACATTTAAATTTGAATTTTCGCTTCTCGATATTTAATGAAAAAAAAAAAGAATTTGAGCGCACACATTACCCGGACGTGTTTGCACGCGAACGATTGGCTGCCAAAATACAATTACCTGAAGCTCGCATACAGGTATGTAATAATTCACAACTAAAGTATATATTTTGCATTTTGTTACACACAATAGAGTTAAAAAAAAAAAACAAATTCCATACAATTTAAATATTAAATTAACTCTTGTGCATTGTGCAAAATGAACGTGTAGGTGTGGTTTTCAAACCGTCGAGCCAAATGGCGTCGAGAGGAGAAACTGCGAAATCAACGCCGTACACCAAGCTCAAGTGTTAGCAGCACAGCCGGCGGTGGTACCAATCCGGGTAGCGTAACACCAACTAATCTAAGCGGAATCACTGCAGCTGGAGTCAATGGATCCACTCATCCTGGCAGCAATACTCCCATGTGTACGTTTGAAAAATATAAATATTTAAAAAAATCCCGGAAAATAATTCAAATTTATGAACATAATTTTAGCAAATGGAAACAATCATGCAACTAATAGTGATCTGTTGCAAAGTGGTGGTTCTGGCTTGTTGGGTAGCTCCAACTATTTGCATATATCATCATTGTCGCCAACACGTCTTAATTTAAATAATGGTTTTGGCAGTGCAATGAGCACCATGTATCCATCGATACATCCGTCCATGCAAATGGGCGATTCTTATAGGTAAACACAAATTTACATATTTTAATAAAAAAAATGTTTATGAAATTGTCTGTTCCGTTTTCAGCTTCTGCAATTATGGTTCGATGTCGGCAATGTCAAGTTTCTCGCATCATCATCATACACCACCGTCATCGATCGGCCCATTATCGGTTTCACCAACGCACACCGGTGCCAGCCATGGACCGCCGTGAGTTTTTTCATCAATTTTTCCCATCTTTCAAAGAATTTCGTGGTTATTGAAATGAAATTCTCTTTTTCTAAACCATTAAATGGCCAATTTTGAAGCGTGCATATTCTTTGAATAAAATCTTAGGCTTTTCCACTTTTAAGAGTAAAAACAAGATTCGTTTTTCTTTCATTTCTTCAGAACATCGGTTTCGCAGCAATGTTTAATGCAATCAAATTCACAGCAATCACAGCAATTGAATAGAGATTTGATTTCACCTTCGCCATATCAATGTCATATGTCTGTGCGTAGCGGTACATTGACCCCAGGTCCAAGTGTATCAGCATCATCGTTGGCCGCCGCTGCTGCAGCTGCTTATGATTCACTTGGACTGGTCAGCGGACCCAATTCCGCCAGTACATACAATACGTCAAGACATTCGCCAAGCAGCCCCTCTCAAACCTCATCAGCCGGTGGACTTTATTCATTCAACTCTCAATCGTCGGTACCATTTGGTTTACCAAATTCATCAAACGGCACCACCGGTAAGCAGTTTTTTTTTTTGAAACTTGATCGCATTTTATTGTGAAAATATATTTTTTTGATTTTATAGCCAAAATCAGTATCTATTTTGTTTGAAATTTGTTGTTTTTTAAAATGTGAATATTATTAATTTATAGGTTTAATTTCGCCAGGCGTTTCAGTACCGATTCCCGTCGCAATACCTGTTCAAACCACCGATATGACATCATCGGCGTACTGGAGTCGACTTCAGTGACCTTGGTATTAATTGGATTGAGTTAACACAAAATCATTTTGATTAGGTTAAGAATTCAAAAAAGGATAACAACCCATTTGAATATCTTCTGTATTTCCTTACAAGCAATTTTGTTCCAACAACAAAAAATATATTGTGTCTCAATCTTTCTTCCTTTTTCGAAATATTTGACTTCAAGGTGATGAGTACTCACAAGAAGTAATCGAGTGATGAATGTAGATAAAAACCATGTTACAACCCAATTTGGTTCGATCAATCGTCGGAAAAGTACCGATAGACTAACCAACGCATTCCATAAAATGCCATATACTTAAAACATGGTGTTCATCTAATTAGTTCACACCTAAATCTAGCTCATTTGTGAGTAATTTTTTTCATTTTCCAAAAAAATGGAACTCGTCGCAGGAGTTTTATCAAGTTATCAATTAAACGTAATGGAGGTTTTCACCATTAAATGGGGCCTCCGATGTGTGAACTCAAAAGCAACAACATTAAATCGTCGAACAAAACAGAAGAAAAGTTTAAATGAATTAAACAAGTGTAAATAAGTGATGAATGTATTTTTTTGGGTAGTTACAATGTTCATTAACTCTTAATTCATTCGAATAGTTGTTCACACATCATCCACGGCAAATGCGAATGCAGCAAAAGGCAGTTTTACAAACAAACAAACAAATTAATAAAAAAAACCATCAATTTAGCGAGTAAACAACTTCATAAATCCGAAGGAAAAAAAAGTGTGTTAGAAATTTTATAAATATATATATTCCATTCACGTAAAAAATTGTGGACAAGAAAGAGAACAAAAAAAAATACAAGTAACATTTAAGTAAATGAAATCTTAGGAAATATGTTTAGAGATTTAAGATGAATTCAACCATATCCGTGCTGATAAAATAAATGTACACCCAATCTAATAGAGCGCTCACCTCCAATATATATATGGCAAAATCCGATGATACATTTTGAATGGATTTCAGTTAGACTCTGTGGTCTGAACGTAATGGACAATTTAATTGCAGGGTTTTTGCAGTCGGATTGAACAAATTCATTACTTTTCCCCTCAAATAACATGTAATCAGACATGTTGAACGAATTTTTCAGATAAACAATCACATGAAACCATTTTGTTAGACACATTTTTGGGACTCGAAACAAAAAAATAAAATAAAATAAAATTCAGTATTTTTCTTTAAATTTAGTTTTAACTCTAATTTCAAAAAATAAACTAATTCCAATTTAGTTTCAAGTTAAAATCGAATGATCGAAAAATGATTCTAGCAAAATTCGTTCGGTGACAAAACGAAAAATACGAGCAACAAATGACAAAAATGCCAATATGGCGATCGATATCTAGAAAGATCGAATGATAAATGAAATATTGGATGTTCATAAAATTGCTTTGAAATTTGTTGATGTGTGATCCAAAACCACCGCCCAGTCAATCTTGTCATTCACTGTGTATTGTATAATTAATTAACGTTTCAACGTGTAACTTTAAAATTGTGTACCCCACAGAACAAAATGAACTTATTTTGATGTGTGAATAATAACATAAAAAAACTGAACAAAATGAAAGCATAGGATATATATATATATTTATTTATGTACACGAAAACTCACGAAAAAATGGAATAAGAAGAAAGAGGAGGAAAGGAGTTAGCCCCCCCCAACAAAAGCCCCAACATATCCTTCCACACATTCGGTGACCCGTATCAACAGTTGATCAACTATATAGAGTAGCATATGGTGCACACGAAATGTATCAATATCATACAGTTCATCATTTGACACAGCTTACGACATTTTGAATTTAAATCGGTAAATTCACGGTTTTCAGTAGTCACTCTTCCAATCAATTAAATAAGAAACAACAACAACAACAAAAAATGAATTCATTTCTCAACGTAACAAATAAGTGTATATCAGAGAGTTCTCAAAGCATTCTACTAATTAATCTTTCGATTTAAGTTAATGAATAAATATATCAATATTATATCCAATTTCACTCAGATACACACAAAAACACAAAAACACACAATAATAAACATGTATTTTATGTATTTTTTGCGGAAAACGATTTAGTTGTTTTGTTTTACCTTTATCACATTGCTTTTGTGGTAGATTCAATTGATTCACTCTTTAATTGATGACCAAAGACTTTGGTAAGTGTAATTCTAATAAGCTTGGTTTGGTCTTCACGCTTGTATATACATGCAATTAGATCCAACGTTTTCATTCCACTAACTTTGCACACTTTCGTTAGATGGTGTTGGTGTTCTGTGTCCATTGTCTGCATTAATACTATGTATAAGTAGCGTCATCTATGATAATTTGCGTAAACGCGCTGACTTTTATTATGGCATTCAATTGGTACACGATTTCATGACGGAAAGAAGAAAAACATATACAACTACAAGGTGATACATATAGTTTTTTGAACGTATTATGTTTTTTTTTTTAGTCGGCTGCTTGTAACTTGTCGTACATTGAACGAATAGAGCGTGAAAATTATGATCGTATCGATTGTTCAATAATTTTGATTGAAAATAGTGGCAAACAAAAGAAAAATCAAATTTTAATGGAATTTGTGTATATTGCATTGTAACCAAAGGGCATTATAATTTAATTCATTTTATATTTGGTGGCATTTAGAGCGGAAATACACAACAAAAGACACACAAAATGAGTAGTCGATATTCGGATGACAAGCGTAAGAATATTTTTTTTTACTCAAAACAATTTAAAATTTTAGAAATATTGCGCATTCCAAACAAAAAAAAAAAAGGATGGAATATTGTTAGATTTTGCGACGTGAAAAAAAAAGATTTTTAATTTTATCAGTAATTGATTCGTTCAGGCACGCATCATCATTATCGTGATGAAAAGGATAGGCATCGAAGTCAATATGAACACAAACATCGTTCAAGATCACGTTCACGGTCCCGATCTCATTCGCCTGTCCATAGGCACGGTTCATCGTCATCGTCGTCGGGCGGCAGCAATAGCCGAAACATTCATCATCATCATAGAGACATAAACAGCGGCCGAAATGGTTTGTCATCGGTTTATGGTCGCAATGACGAACATAAATCGAGAGGTAAAAGACGGATTTTCAAAATGGATTTAGTTTAATTTAATATGAAAAACAAACAAAAAATTGACAATGTTCAATACAATCCCGTTCTGCATGGAATATGTCATCAGATGCCGACGAATTGATCTGTCCACCACCGCCAGTCATATCAAAGGTCTCGATGTCTATTGGAAAATCAAATATACCAGCCAAGGTAAGCCGAAGGAAATGTGGTCATATCAAATTATTTGAATAAATAACGAATGAATGGAATAGAAAGAGAAAAACAAAATTAATTATTGATTTTTTCTGCATTGTGCAGCCAGTACAGTTGAAACTTGCACCAACCAAACCCAGTGAACCTGTGAAAAAGTTAACAGTTGCATCAGCGTTTAGCAATAATGACAGCGACGACGACGAAGAGGAGGAGGTTCCAGTCAAATACTCGCGCAACATTGGACGGTAACTACTTGTGGCTTTCACATTTCAATTGCAACACATTCCGTTTATTTCATTTTATGCTATTCTTCCACACTTTGTTCGCATCGATTTATTGGGTTTTTTTTTATTCGCCGTTATTTGCAGTGATACGCCAACTTCATCGGGCCCAAATTCATTTGGAAAAACCAAACAGGGATTCTGCGATGTGAAGAAAATCTTTGAAAAATCTTTACGTGAATTTAACACGGAATAAGAACGCTAGAGGTAGAGGGAGGCTTTCTATAATTATTAGTTTTTAATGGAGTAATCTTGATTTGTCATTTAATTAATCAAAAATAGTAATGAAACATAGACCAAATTAACCATTGGGTTCTCATTGCTAATGGTCAATCATTTCTTTTCCTTCACCGCAAATCCGCTATAGTATAAAAAAATATTTTCGCCACAAATCATGTTCAATTGAGATATGCTTTCTTCCATTTTAAAAATTATTTTAGAAACTGTCAATAATCTAATTCAAATATTGTTTTCGGAAAATCTTATTCAATACCCATTGTAAAATACTTGCATAAAGCAATAAAGAAAATAGATGCAGATATCAACCAATTCAATGACTCTTTTAATTTTCTCTCGACACTGATATCCATTTCATTCAATTTAGATGGACGAAATGGTTTTAAATTATTAAATCAGACGAATTTACTTTAGTGAATATTGGAAGAAGCCCCGTGGTAGATAGTAATTTATCCACAATTATTAAATTTACAGACTTATTCAATATCATCGAATATGACGAGACATCGATTTCTGATTGATTTGAAAATTCCAAAATTTAGTGAAAAGTAATTGAACCTCGACGTTTGGGTCTTCTGAAACACAGCTATTGTTCTCGCCTTCATTCTTGTTTGTAAATATGCAACTAATATACAGATGTCGCTGAATTCAACTTGAAATAAGGAGAAGAAAAAAAAAACAAATTAAAATCAACGCAATTGTTCACTGTTTCTAAAAAGAAATATCCAGGAAGACCTTGCAGATGACTAAAAATGGAAAAATTCATAATAAATTCAGAGAAAAATTGATTTTCATACAAAAAATCTGCGTGTCAATCTCAATAAATCAGATTTTGTGTTCATTTTTAAGATGAACTATATGATTTTTTTTCTGAAACTTTCAATATAAAATAGTATACTTTCAATATAATTTTTTTTCTTTTCAAAAATGCTGAAATAAAAATAAAACCTCGATTTTTCCAATGAAAATAAAGAAGAAAAAAATGCCATGGTTTAAAATCATTTTCAGTTTCTTAACAGAAACATGTCTTTAAGTGGTTTTATTATTTTTTTTTAAATCATCATTTTATATTTTTTCATGTTCTCTCTTTCTCATTATTTCTCCATTTTTTTCCTCATCTTTTTTTTAAAAAACATAACATAGAAGTTTTGTTTGATTTGATTTAGTTCACTTGACCGCAGTTATGGAATAGTTGTTTGTATGTATGAATGTTACATTTTCTTATGGTATTTTTTTTATTTAAAAAAATGTATTCATGTGATGACAATATATTCACAGACAGAGAAGCACTTTGAATAAACGAATATAGCATAGAAATGTGCTTTTTTTTTTAAACATTCACGTACATGCGTAGAGTATAAAAAAGGTACGACACTCGGTTTACAAAAAACGCATACATTAATTTTGTTTGTTTTGTTGATTGATTTATAGAATTTCTTTTTATTTCTTGTTTAAATCGGCGGCGGTGGCGGTAGTGGCGGTGACGGTGTTATCGCTTGTAAATCACATCATGAAGAATTTGTGTCCCCGTTGTCGTGATAGTTATTTCCATTTATTATAAATGTGTTGCCTAGGCCATACAGATGGCCACAATATTTTGCGTTGTCGATGTTATCCTCAAAGAACATCTGCATGCGCCAAAAACATAAATTGCATAATTTTGCATTGTGTGTGTGGTGTGTGTATAAGAAACAACCAGAGAAATAAAAGAACAAAAAGAGAAAGAGATAATTAGGATGGATTTTGATAATTGTTGATGAAATGAAATGAACTAAATGCTAATTTAAAAGAAAAAACTACGGTTTTATTTTAGCGTGTTGGCAGCGATATATGTGACATTTGCTCTCATCTGAATGGCATCATTTTATACATTTTTTTTGGTTTCATTTTTGTTGCGCTACGAAATTCATTGATTCGAAGACTTGAATTTTAAACCAAAACAATCAATGTAATGTAAAAAAAATGATGTAAACTATTTCGATCGTTTTTTTTTTCTTTTTGAATTTGATTTTTACATAAATTAATGATATTTTTTATCGAAAAAATGATGAATTAAAAAAAATTATATATCTTTGAAAATTAGATAATTTAGAAAAGAATAATAAATAAGATGAAAAAAAAATATGCTTAAGGCAAATTGCAAAAAAAATGCAATTTTACATAATGATTTGAAATCAAATTGGATTTACTAATATTTTTTTTGAAGACGATGATCATCTTTGCCGATATTTCATTTGATTGACTTCATTCCATTTGAAATGTTTATTCGTTTGATCCTTCCAAGCCATAAGGAATGGAATTATGATTTAGGTCGAGTTTTGTTTCAATATCATCATCACTGTCATACGCATTATTTGTGATCAAATTGCCGTTGATAGTGCCGTTGTTATCAATCGTCGGACTTGCATAATCGTCACAACATCGCCAAAATAATTTTTTCTCCGAATTCTTTACAGCTAAACGAAATTCAACGGAATCATATACCTCTCTCATTTTGAAGAAAGCCATACCGGTGAGATGTGAATCGGAGCCGGCTTGATGTTGCGGTCCAACGCGTCGTAATTCCAATTGATCGGCCACCTCTTGTAGGCCGCCTTTCAAATTTTTACACGATTTCATTAAATACTTAACATCGTAGATGGTTGGAAAGTACAATCGCAACAATTCAAAAAATTCACCCTCTTCGGCCGGCAAATTTTGATCGGTTAATAACTTAAGTAGGTAGCCAAAATCGTAGCCGGAATGAAAGCTCAACCACTTAATATTGTCCATGAGCACAATGCCTGATGTCATCAATAATTCGGCAAATTCCATTGGATCGATACCTTCTTCTTCGTGTTTTTTAAATTGAATGCCAGAATTTATCAGCAAATCGATTGAATCTTGGGCGTACATATCCTCTCTGCAAATATCAAATGGAAAAGTACAGTTTTATCATCGATTTTGTTTACCGCCGATTATTTTTTTTTTTCAACTTCAATTAAATTTAGAAAATCACATATAATCCTGTGTGGGATCCGCATGCTTTATATTAATCCGTACGAATTCGAATATACAGAAATAATAATGCACACACAATTATTGTTGCGTTAATTCAACGTTCTGAAAACACGCGGCGTCCTTCGTACGGATAATAAAGATAAAATAAAAAGAAAAATTGTGAAAACCTACTGTATATTAAATTTGAAATTAAACTGCCATGTTGAGTAACCGCTAGGCGTTTTTGCTTCGTCATCCATAAATGTGAGACCCAATTGAATGATGCGCAACAGATCGACATTACACTTAAGCAATTGATATTGATAATCGGCGGCTGATCGAAATTCACCAATTGGACGAGCCACCACACCCGGAAACTCTGTGTCCATTGCAACATAATTGTATTTTTGTACGATTTGACGAATTGTGCGGAATTCTTCTTCTAAATTGTGTCGCCACACATCACGAATTCCACATTCTTCATTGTTTGGTATTTGTCCGGATGCATTTGCCGATGTTGAATGCGTCGTACTACCACCGGTACCTGTGCCACTAACTGTCCCACTAGCATTGTTACCAACACCAACAGGAACGCTGCCACCAATTGCAGATGGCATCTGGTTGTAATACTGTAAATGCAAAATATAACACACGAGATACGTGCATGATGAGTAAATGCTTTTTTTTTTTTTTAAATTTGAATCAACAACAAAAAAATGGCAATGAATAAGCAAGCAAAATCACGTCGTCAATTCTTACGAACAAATTATCTTTAAAACGAATGAATTATCTTTAAAAAAAAATCATAATTGCGAGCAAATTGATATTACCACAGGCGGTTGCATGTAACACGGCACAAATGTTTGATAATACATATTGTATGAATTTATAGGTTGATAATGGTCTGTCATTTTTATTATAGATATTTTGTTTTAGACGTTTTATTTTATACGATTTCGGTTTTTTTCTTATTTCATATATGATTTAAGATTGAACGACTGAACAAATCATGCAAAAAATTTTCGGTTTAACTTGAACTTATAACAGATTTTAAAAACAACTTATGAACTAAACATTCCTCCAAATAAATAGCGTCCTCTTTCTTTTAAATTATATTATTAATTTTTGGTTTTCGTTGATTATAACAATGTTTTTCTCGTTTTTTAATAATATATATTTAATTTGAAGAACAAATAACAAGCACGTGCTTCATTTGGAGGTGTCGTTGCGAATAATGATGAAATCACATTTTTACCATACCAAATGGCTCTCAATGAAACGGTAAATACTGTCATATCATTTGTGCACAAGAGATGCGAATTGTGTTCACATGTTGTTGCACATCATTTGGCGCAAACGATATTTGGGTATCATTACACCGGCAGACGTGAAAAACAATCGTACTGTGTGTTTTCTCTCTGCCATTTTTTAGCCGGTAAATTGGTTTCTTTTGTTTTCAAACATTATTCGCATAATAAAATTAAAAAAAAAATTGTGACTTACATTTGTTAGATCACCAATTTTCTCTGCCACGATGTGTCTCTTGGTGGAGTATATTGTTTGGTCGAAATGATGTTAGAACGTTTGTTTGGCGGTATAAAGTGAATATATCTGATTGTGTTTGTGTTTGGTAGATGTGTGTATGTATGTGCGTGAAAGTATGAGAGCGAAGGTATGATGTTTGGTGTTCTCTATGGCTTTAAATTTTATCGTTCACCAAATACAAATATCGTTTGATATTGAAATGCGTTGAGTTAGTGTGTAAAAAATATATTATATGAAAAAGAAGATTGATTTCTTTTTGTGTGTCGGCCTTTTACAAATGTAACAATTGTAAACTGTTATGCGGCCTTTTCGTCGACAGTTCGTTCGTTGACCACTTGTTTGATAGATTTTTTTTCGGTTTGTCGATTGGAATCGTTGAGTTTGCTGTGTTTTTTCTTATTATTGGCTTTTTTATTCCAAACAATTTGTTATGCGGTGTGAATGCAATCGTAATCATTCGATTTTGTGAAATTAGCTCGGTTGCCAAAAATGTTCCGCCGAAAATGTTCATTGATGTCACTTGGTACACTGTTGTAAATGTGTGTGGCAAAAAGTTCTGTTGAAAATAGAATACAAAAATAGATAAATAAATAATAGTAATTAACGCACTTCTTTTCTTCAGTCCAATGACAGTTCCAATGCTGTCAAACAAATGTAAAAAAACCTCTTCCAATTTGAACTAACAATAAAGTACTAAGAAATGGATTTCATTTGTAATGTTGTAAATGAAAACTAAAATAAATCACAAAAATGTACGTGAGATTTGATACATTCGTAATGAACAGCTTTCCTAATTCAAACACTTTTCGAATCATTCCAATGATGCACGAAGATTATCGAGTCAATTGAGTGATATTACTCTGTGCGTGCAATTTAGATAAATCGGCAAAAGCACTTTATTCTGAATTGAACTGGAATTTCTTTCAATCATCAAGACACTGAATAAACCATTATTTTTCAAATGAATGACGGGAATTTCATGTAACTTTTAATGGGAAAGATGTGTCGATGCATCATTTCATCGAGATTTTCCAAAAATATTATGTTTTTTAGATATTATTGTCTCAGACACATCGAAAGATGAATCGCTTTCTGTCTCTGTCGAACGTAGATTTTGTATGCAAACAACAAGCACAACAGAGTTAAAAAGAAAATAATTCACAGAATTTTCAACCTACTATCAAAATTTGTTTCGGATTTACAATATCCGAATGGTAAACTAGCGCAATCGGAAAATTTTGATCAACATTTGAAAAAACGAAACGAACTTAAAAACTCTTTTTCCAACACATTTTTTTGGCTCTTCTGTGGTACGGTGTGTATATTTTTTCGTTCTTCCACTAAAATGTCATGGCGGCATTAATCAAGTTTGATGTTATATGTCGTTCAAAGCAGGCGAAAACCGCGCGTCAGTGGAACGATGGAAATACAATGTAACAAAATGTATGTATATGGAATACCGAACGGACACGAATTCGCCGTATCAAACGTATTTTATTATTTGAATGTTTTTCGATGGAAAATTTTGCACACTTTCCCATAAAAAATCATTCAAACGCATAAAAATGTATCCGATTTACGGATTTATGTAATTTATTTGGTTGAAAAATGAAATTGCGCACTTTGCAAATATTATTGTTTACGTGCTCAATTCTATCAAAGTGTGTAGATTATGTGAACGCAATCGAATATCTAACAATAATATGTGTGTACGGCTGTACGTCGATGGCGAAATCGTTTCGTTGAAGTGGCGATAGAGGACGCTTGTGTCTGCACATACATTCCGAATGATGTCTTCAATTTTTGACATTCCGCAAAAATTTTACGTACAAAAAGTTTGTTTACTATTAGCGAGCGCAAAACGATTACTATCGACAATATTTCGATTTGAATTTTGAAGCCGCTTACACTATAAATCGCCGCTATGGACAATTCACTATCACCAACCACAAAAGGTAAGAATAAATGTGCAATATTAATCGCAGCATCGATATTCAATCGTATTACATTTTAATGCGCTAAATGTGGAATATATAAAAATAAATAAACGAGTTTATCTCACAATGTGAATAGATAATTTGGAGGTGACGGGAGTTTCGCGCAGCGGTCGAGTACGAAAGAAATCATCAAAATTAACCGATTTTCAATCACCCGATGATATTGATACGGCCAAAGGAACAAAACGTACACCGCACAAAAGCCCATCAACAAAAACGGCATCGTCACAACAACGGCCAACACCGAATGCCGGCACACATTCAAAATCATCAATTGCAGCATATTTTCAACCCGTTTCAAAGCCAAACACCGAACCATACACAATCACATCCAATGCAAATAGTGCGGTGAAAAAAGAAAAACCAGAAGTGATCGTTGACAAAGAGATCGACATGCTATTTTCGTCAAATAAATATTTGGGCGACAATGAAGATGCAATCAATTTGGATAATAATAATGATGCCATCGATTCGGATGATGAAAACGAATTAACGATTGACACAACAATGCGTAAAAGTGCATATATGTCGGAAAAATCATCGAAACGAAAAATATTCAAAGATGGTGAAATTGTATTGAGCCGACCGCAACGAAAAGATAAAGGTAAACCACGATTTACTGCTTATATGCTTTGGGCCAAAGAAGCCCGAAAAGAACTACTCAAATCAAATCCAAACATGGATTTTTCACAAGCGTCACGTCGTCTGTCGTCAATGTGGGCCATTGTCCCGAACAGTGAGAAAAATACGTGGCGTCGACGTGCCAAACGGGTTACAATAAAAAATAAAAAAGCACTTCGAACGGGCGACAAACTCACCACAAAATATCTGAACAGAAAACCGGGCCACAAGAAACCGGGCCGTAAGCCGAAAATACAAAAAGACAGCCAACAAGAGACGAACACAACATTGCCAACGCCATCACCATCGAAAAAAGCCAAAACCGATCGAAGGTCGAACGCATCAAATAGCTCAAGGGACGATGATTTATCAAAACAAAAATCGATTCTTAACAACAGTAATAATTTAGGAACAATATTACCGGGAGCGTACAAAGTGACTGGCATCGGACCAACCGAAGTGGCCGCTCATTTAAAGCTATTAGGTGACAATCTAACAATCATAGGACAACGGCTCAAAGAGCATGAGGTACTATTTTGTGCATCGAATTTCCTCTTTCAAATAAACTAATTTTCGGTTTTTGCCATCCAAACTATTATAGGGCCAAATAACGGTATCAGGAAGCTTATCGGTGCTATTGGACAGTTTACTTTGTTCGTTGGGCCCATTAATGTGTCTTACCACAATCATACCAGAGGTTGAATCAGATGAACAACATGGTCATCTTAAAGATACTCTAGCTAATATACTAGATAATATCGCTTACGTGATGCCCGGACTTTAAAAGTACTTTAGCGATTTTTAGGGGTTTTTAAGTTGTCTCTTGTTAGTCAATGCAATTTTATTTCAAAATATATAGATTTTTTGTTTGTGAACCAAATGCAAATAAATGATTTTTATGAAACGAATCGAAATTAAAACAACACAAATTAAATTGAAAACATTTTTTTATCATTTATTCATTAATTAAATCGTTGTATTACATTTATAATTATTTTTTTACTTTTTGTTTGATTGGTGCTAGTGGAGAACTTTTAATGGAATTTTGGGTGCGAAAATTTGATTTTGATGATAAAAATGGGTGAGATGTTTGGATGAACCTACAAAATGCAATTCATCTTACTTATATATCGAACTATTGAAAAAATTCCAGAAACAAACGAATATATTCACTGCAAGAATGAAAAGCAAAAATAATGACATTTGTGTATTGCGGCGATTCAGTTCTGTTTCCATTCGTAATAATTCTTGAAGTTCGGTTACCTACGGTAAATCGCATAGAACAGAATGGAAATCAATCAATAAGTAATGGAAATAAAATATATAGTTTAAGAGCAAAGTTCGGTTACTTTTCGGCAAGTTGCATGGAAAGATTCTTTGATTTCATCATTCAGGGCAGCCATTCGCTGAAGAAGTGCTTCAAGAGCCATGTTTAGTTCTTCGAGCTGCTCTGTTTGCAATCGAACGGTTTCTTCTGCTACAAGACCAAAAACAATATTATTAAAATATGTTTATGACCAGTGAAAAGCAAAATTAAAATATGGCACAATCAATAATAATATATTTATTCCAGCCAATTCAACTACTCTGACGCTTCGAATTGGTTTTAAAAAAGAAACAAATTGTTCAACGTCAATTGACTCGCAATAAGTGTGCAGATAAAATGTTTGAAGACAACATATTTTTCAATTCGCACAACTTATTCGTTATAATTTAAATCTAACACTTCCATGCACTTAATGTGATCTGATGTGTTCTGTGTGTTTTTAAAAAATCAATTCGATTTGTTGGTACCATTTAATTGATAAAAAGAAATAAATACGAAATAAAATACCTTTCAATTTTTCCAGTTTGTCTGTGATGTCGATAAAAGTCATTCTGCGTTTTTGCGTACAGCTTTCGGCTACTCGATCTTTTCACCGGTACTTTTAAAATGGGTATGTGCGTGTGTGCATGTAATGCTGAAGCAGTTCAAATTTTGGTGTTGTTGCACGCAGCAAAATACTTTGTCACACATATTTGACAGATTTTGCCTCTTTTTAACGTATTTACAAATACTGCCAAATGCCAACTATAGAAGAGCGCATCGAAAAGACGTCTATGAATATAATTTTCAAATCATATTTCAAATAACTGTCAAATATATCTGACACTTGATTTTGTTGCAATCGATTCGACAATTGCCGTTAAGTTTTTTTTGCAACTGACAGCAGCAAAAGAAAAAACACAAGAAAATATTTTTATTATAAACTCTGTATTATAATGATAAGACAAGAGAAGAGCAAGAACAAAAAAAGTAATAATGGTGATTTGTTTCTAAAAAAAATATGCAAGGAAAAAAGATAAAAGTTACACACACAAACAAAAATTTAAATTAACTTCAAAAACTAAATGACAAATTTACGTAGAGTGCAGGACAGAAATGAATGTTAGTTGACTGGTTTTTATGGCCATTGTGAAGAATGCACAATTTGGAGCCAGCATGTCAAAAAATTGTGTTTTGTGTGCGCTCAGATGTTTGTTGAGACGATATATTTTCGCGTAATCTCTACGTCTTTCAATAAATGTCTATATCTCTCTCTCTCTCTCTCTCCCCCAATCAAATGGCAATGGTATCGAGTATATTATCCAAGTGCGGTTCGCATGCGCTGATATCGTCACAGTCCACCTTCATCGATGCCATTTGATTGAAAAGGTCTTTAAGTCTTTGTTCGCCCAATACATGTTTGGCCGTTTTTAATGCGCACAAACAATGCCATGACAATATTTTAAAACAACTGCGACGCACCGAATTATGTGTTTTATTATCCCAAATTGGTGTTGCACGAACAATTGGCCATGCCATTAGGCAATAATCGATAAGTGCATCCCAATTTTCCGATTCGTTGAGCTGTTGTGCTTGATCGACAACCGTTTTCTTGAATGTAGTCAAATGTGTGGCGGCCCGTGAATGTCCAACTGAATCGGTATTTTTTACCAAACGTGATGTTGGCAAACTTTTAAAAATATTCTTTTTCAATTGTAATAATTGTTCTTCCATTGGTTTTATATCGGGCATCGGTAGATTTGTTCGAATTTTTGTTTCAATATTGGGCTCATTGTTAACAAGCTCTTGAATGACATTGATCAATTGTGATTGGGTAAGACCTTTTAGAATTTTTGTTAATGGCGTTTTTTGGTTTTGTTGTGCAATTGGTGATTCGGTGAAACGCAAACGTTTCGTTTGTGGTGTATACGATTGGATTGGTGTGGTGGTTAGTTGTGGTGTACGTGGTATTTTACGTGGCGATTGTCCCATCGATTGTGGTGATAGCATAACACTTGATGATGCAACACCATCCAAATGTAGACGCTTACGTGGCGAACTACGTAATGTCATTGTTGATGTTGATTTCGTTGGTGTACGCAATATTGAGAGAATTGCAGCAGCTGACGATGGTATCTTATCCGGTGACCAATTGATCGAACGACGACGGCCCCTTTGCCGAATTATCACTAGAAATACAAAGAACCAACGTCAATCTTTTTTTTTATTTATCTAATTAATGTGACTAGTTTTTCTTCGATCTTTCAGTTTCGGCAGAGGCTGTTATTGGCACCGGCCCTACACTTATGCCATATAACTTTTATTCAAGTGCGGTCTTTCTCATACCAGCATTTACAAGTGCCAGCACCTACCCGGTGCCTATAACAGCTCTGGACGTTTGATCGATACTTACATTCATCTTGTGATGGAGATGGTGTCAAATATCCGATAGGAATGTTATCTAATGGACTGTCGATGACGGTTCGATTCAAAAGCACCGGCGGTTCATCGGTTGATACGCGTAATTGGCTCATGCGAATCGGAATTTCAGCTGCAATAATAAATAATTTTATGATAATTCAACAACGAAAACTCATCAAACATTTTTATTTCTTAATAATTTCTCTTTAATTTAGAGTTCAATTCTCACCCAATGCAGTGCGACGACGATTTATTTGTGTGGCCATTATTTTTTTTACTGGTTGTTTGTAGTTTTTGGTGTGTGTTTCCTCTCTCGTTGAATTTGCTGCGTCTACTCACGGTGGTTGATGTATTTTTGGTGTCAACTAACTGCGAAGAATCTTGTTCCGTTTTGTGATTGCTGAATTCAGTGTAGCCAAATTAATCCGGTTGATGAAATGTTGATGTAATAAATTACATCTCCTTTTGTTTTCTCTCTCAGGCTCTGCACCGAGAAAAAGTAATTATCGTATAAAATATCACTTTATTTAAACATAACCAAGAAACAAAAATACAAAAATAATCCAAAACTAAAAAAAAATCGAATCGCAAATGCATCGATATGGCACAACATATTTTTTCTCAAATAAAAAAAAAAACATTCAAAATACAAAACACTGTCTCTTCATTAAATAATCAAGATACTCAACCACACATTCCAAAATTTCAAACTTTTTTTATTTACCTTTTAACCTGTACTGCTAAAAAAAATTTACTACTATAAACAGTTTGGGTACTTTTTCAGTGTTTTTCCCCTTAAATAATAAATTTTAATTAGAAAAAAATTTGGCTGTACTCAATTAAAAACAAGAAACAATGCTCCGTGTTTTCGTTGCGTGTTGTTTTTTTGGTGGTCCTTTGAATGTGTCAAATACATAGAACGCTTTGCATTTTCCCGCCTAATACCATGTTTTGTTATTATTATTGTTATTATTGCAACTGTTGGTTTTGAAATTTGTCGATCGCATATTGTTGTGTTGAAGCGTACGTATGAGATGCGGATATTTGTGTGTGTGTAGACAAATTGACAACAGTATGAAGTTGGTTCGTATGGAATTTCATTGAAAAATTCGTTTGGAATTTTTTTTTTCGCTTTTTTAAATGCTACGGCATTTTTCAGACATTTTTAATTTAAAAAAAAATGTAAAATTGACTTTAATTTATGTAAAAAAAAAAATTGTGTGTCATTCTTCTCTCGTACGAAAATTCGATTTTTTTTCTTTCAATTCGCATTGAAGAAAAGCGCGCGAAAACCAAAAATCTATCTCTATGCAGCTATGGCATTGCATTTGTGTGTAAAATATGCAAAAAAAAACTATTTTTTTTTTGTTTGATTGAAATGGTAATGATATTGATTCTTAGATGCCGGTCTTAATAACGTTGTGGACTGAATACATCGACGGAATGTCTGGCATGAAATTTATTTAATGATTTTTTTTCGTTTGATTTCATCAACAAAGCGATCATAATGAAGAAACCAAACATTGATCAATTATTAAAAATAAAGAGCAAATGTCCAAGAGCGTGCATCTGACCGACAGACTCAGACAATAAAATAGTTGGCGCTCACCAAAAATAGAATAATCATGTGTGAGTTGTATTTAAAATAAAAAATATTATATAGACTATTTGCACATGCACAAAGAAAGAGATCACATCAGATGAGAATGAGGTTTTGCTTCATTTTTATTTTTTTTTTGAAGAAAGTCCAAAGAAGATTGAGCAAAAGTGAGAGTACAATATAAAGAGATACAAGCGGCTTTCCTTTGTATTGATTAACGGCTCTGAAATTAGTTTGAATTTGGTCAACATTTTTCCCGTTCCCGTTCGAGCACATTATGTATTTCACACTGCAATGAAATGAATCGAATGCGATTTTTACAATGTGCGGCACTTGACACTGAACAAAAATAAATGAACAACAACAACAACATAAAAAAAGAAACAATAAAAAAAAAATGCGGAGCAAAGGAACTGTATGTTTATTGCATACATTACATTGTTGTGTCGAACAATTTCTGTGTTGGGTGTGCGGCACAAGTAAAAAGATTCATTTGGACGGAATGAAAGCGATCGAGAGCATGAGAGCAAATGACACGTCGGATAGTGTGAATGAAAAAGCAGATAAAATGAGGATACATATTAAAAAATATAATAAAATGAATGATGCGCTCATTTCTTCTATTTAAGTGGTATCATTTATGGTATTATTCACGCACAATCGATACACATGGACGAATATGTTAATCGTGTCGATTTATTTGTGTGTTTGATTTTAATTCAATTTTATAAATATGAATTCATGGCAAAGAATACTTGTGCATCGTTGAGATCGTGAGCGAGAGAGATTGAGAGAGAGAAAGGGAAAGAGAAAGAGAAAGAGAAAGAACGGGAAAAAGGGAGAAAAAGAGTAAGTGAGTGTGAAAAATTATGCCAATTATTGCCAATGCGCAGCAGCATATGTGTGTGAATGTCGCTGTTGCATGTTTGAAATTCGCTCGATTGAGATGAATAAAATGCGGAATGAAAAGGCTCATCATTGAGCTTGTGATCATCATCTTTGGTGACAAAATATCTTCGCCTTTGGTTTATGCGATGACAACAAATGAAAGTGTTTGCATATATAATACATTTGCCGGCAAATAGCCATAAATATTTGTGTGCATATGCGTGTGTGGTTATAAATGTTCAAAGTGCCAATTTCGCGCATTTATATTCAATGCTATTTTTCCATTTGGCCGATGATGATCAATGCATGATCATGTGGCATAAAAATGGAAGGCGGTTTAAATAAACCATTTCACTTTGCTCCCATAAACAACACACACTGAGAGTGTGATCCATCGATATGGGATCATTATGAATGTACATTACAAACACACATTACACGCAGTTCAGGGTGTCATACATCCTGTTTCCAATTAGTTAATAAATGCATGTGTGCATTTTTGTATTGCATTATACAAAACACAATTAAATTTTCATTGAAAGGATTGCATGTGTGTGTGTGCTATTGGCATTGCCGTAGCCGTTATCTCGTTTTACCACTGTCACTGTGCATTTCATTAATTGCAGGAAAAGAAACATAAATTGTGCGAATGATCTTTGTGGGTCTTAATTCAATTTGAATTCGCTTAATCTTTTATTATTTCTCGCTTCGGTCGATTCATCTTTTTTCCATCCATTTGAGATTATTGCTCGAGTACGCTCTCGATTGAGGTCAAATGTGAGTTTGTACATTGTACGGAAATTATCATGTTCAAATAGTTTTTCTTTTCATTCGTTCCATTTTCCCACGGTTACGCATATCATGCAAAAAGGAATGAGTTATGAGTTTTTTTTTTTTCGTTGTTGATAAAAGTATGCATGCTGCGCATACACACATACATATGTATACATCGGTATATTTTAACACATCATATGAATGCAAGCCTGCGCATAAAATTATTGCAATTATATTGCGGGTGAACTAATGCCCATAAAAATTGTCGACAATGTTGTTTGCACAACACATTATTGTTTGTGTTGAAAGCGAAAATGCAGTTAAGACTGCATTTCATTTTGGCACCGAATTCAATCACTTGTTTCCGATTCGGCAAGCGCCAATTTGGATTTCTCTCTTTCTCTATCTCTCCTCTCCACCGCTCTGTCGCGCTCTCTTTTTGTGTGAGAGCGGTTTTTTTGTTTGAATCTTTTTCTGCGAAATGCACCGAATTCGATTGATCAAATATTTATCGGTACGAAAAAATTCCACGAGATTTTCAGAATCGGGTCTCAATTTTATGGGAAATTGTTGAGTATTTTACCATTTTAATGAGAATGCGTTGCTTATATCTCATAGGATTTTCTCTGTCCGGTTTTGCCGTTGTTTTAACAACAGTGTTGCTCTGTCGGTTGTGCACGCGCTTGTTGCTACCGAAAATTTTATTCAATATCAACATTCATGAATGTCATTGTAACGCGCTGCATTGCATTTACACAGGCGTCATCTATACATTAAACGAAAGCAAAATTATAAAGAGCAAAAAACAATAAAATAAAACCACAAGCCGAAACGAACAAATGTTAAAAAGTAGCAAAGTTACGATTCGTTTTTTTTCTGTGTTTGCTGTTGCTACGGCTTGTGCTTACTCCGTTTCGATTGAGATGAAATTCCTTCCAATGAATTTCGTTATTAATATTTATGAAAGTTCTTTTAAACCCCCGCTCACATTTTCGCGCGATCGCGATCCACACAATTTATACATATATATATAAAAATCGATGCGATGAAACAAATATTTCGCGATAAATTGCAAATATTACAGCAACATAAGCAATCCCAAATAATAGTGCAAGATGAGCGGCATTTAATTTATACATAATTCATGTTGCATTATTATTTGGAACGGCTTATGTTGCTGTAATATTTGTAATTAGCCGATATTTTGTTTTCGACGAATCGGTTCGAGAGTGTATGGCACTCTTTTCGGTGAAAAATATCCTATTGAAATTTTATGCATAAAAAAAAGGTTCAAAAATGTGCTGCTTAGCGGCAAACATGTAAAACAATGGAATGATAAAAGCATGCGAATACATTCTGCAATTTTTTTTTTAACGTAGCGGCGGTTTACATGGCCTTTTTATGGTAGCAATCAGAATGAAAGAAATGTATGAACAATGATCGACCGTTGGGATCGAGTGGAGATGAGTGCCGTCATAAAAGAAAAATAGTGGTAATGTTGGCATATAATTTATTACCACAATGAACTAGTGACCTTTATGTGCATAATATGTTGTACTAATTTTTTCGACCATTTATCAATCAATGACGCAAAATTTTTATTAGGCCGTATTCGCAATGGACCGGATTGAATTGTGAGCGCCAATTTATTTATCGCATAATCTTCTATTTTCACCGCATCTTTCTCTTTTACTCTCTTTTATCACTGTTTGTTGTTGTTGCCGGTTTTTTTTCTTCTTCACCGCTATCTATTACGAAATCTATTTTGTTTTGAATTAATAAATCTAATAAAACAATTCACCATGCAATTCACGAAGCGTTTCTATGTGAGTGAATTAAATGACAAAAAATTGTGCCCCAAAAGAAAGAGAATAGATAAACAAAGGCATACCGATTTTAGTTCTCCGAATGAATCCAGATTGACGATGATCATCAGTAGAAACGGAAATTTCGAGAGAAATTTTTTGCCACACTAGATATTTCCATTCGGTCAATCTATACTAATTTCAATTGGTGCACATCAAGAGTGCAAAAAATACACAATAATATTAGGCGAAAACGCGTTTAGAACACCATTAGAAACACGAAGAAAAAACGAGATATGATTTAAATAGCAGCAACAACAAACGAAAAAAAAGCCAACAACGGACAATGAAATGATCGGTGAACGGTGATGAACCAATGCGCTACAAAAAAGCAATAATTCAAATTCATGGTTCAATGTTTAGATAATAACAAAATGCATTTAACCTTGGTTTAGTCGCATTTTTTTTGTACCATCACAGGCAATGGCCATTGGATCCAACGCATTGTACATAGAGCATAGCACCATATGATTTATTAAAGATTCATTTTAATAGCTCTAATAGCTTGTATTCTTCCCATCAAGAGATCGAGGAGAGAATGCGATGTGAGAGCAACTTATGTGCACTTGTCTATTGCGCGAAATCATCACATTTTTTTTCACACGAAGAGTATTTAAAGTAAAAAAAAGCATTTTTTTCGTTGCAGTCTTTCTCTTTCTGTCTCTCTGTGTGTCTCGGTAAGATGGTGATATCACTTTTCCTTTCTTTTGCACTATTATTCTGTCCTTGACCGTACCTCAATAACAAGTATTAGTGTACAAAAACGCAATAGCTTTATCAACGGCAACAGAGCAACAGAAACCGTAACAATGACTATTGATGCGCGGCAAACTGTGTGTGTGCGCGCGCACGCGCATAAATGAATAAGCGTACACGCTTACACACACGCCCGCTCATTTCATTCGTTTGCTTCACGTCACAGTTGCACAGAAATTAAGGCGACCGAAAAAAAAAAACTAAATAAATAAATAATTGTATTTTTTTGGAACGATTGGAGCAAACGAAAGATGAAGAAAAGAAACCAGGAGAGTGCGGCAAAGAATGATGCCAAAAAGAAGAAGTAAATAATGAAAAAAATGGGGAGCACGACTTTTGAATCACAATGATTGCATATAATGATTCAATTCAATAATGTTTAGCCCGATTTCTAACTTTTTTCTATAGATATATTGTTGTGTGTGTGTTTTTGTTGTTACATCTCCACTGTTACCGCTCTTTGTTGCTATTCGTTTGTTCCCTGCCCCCATCAGTCGCATATATGCGACTAAATCAAGATTCTATTTACTAAACGTTTGATTGCAAGCCGTTTCTTGACTTATTTTTATTCGCAAAACTTGCACATATGCTATATACGACATCAATTGTGTATACAAAATATCATGATGATGATGATGATGATGATGATGAAGAAGAAGAAGATGAGAGCAACAAAAAAGCAACCGCCAACGACACAAAATTGCCGTGATTTGACAGATTCACAAGTTCAAGGCGTCACATCTTCTATGCTGAAGTTATTAAATGTGAACGACCATCTCTCACTCTCATTGTCCGACATCGACAAGCAAAACATACATACTGAATGAACACAATGCGCGCACTCTCTCTCTCTCTCTCTCTCGCGAGCTCATAACAACAATCATAAAGTGCTAATAAATCTTTTAAGTGCGAAAGACATTACTAGCTTGGTAAATGCCCTGATAAACTGACTTTAATGAGCCATCATGATCTTTATCTTGTCTTCGTTTTTGTTGTTGTTCTGCCCTCATATGTGGTGTGTTCGCAATATTGTGCGAAAAAATGCAATGCATTTACGTCACTATATAAAAAAAAATTTTCGTTTCGTAAACAATCGTTCGACGACATTTGCACTACGATCATTTTAATTTTTGGCGACTTATTTTGGCCAACAAAATTCAAATGGATCATCTACTCCAATTAATCTGTCTCAATTCGTGATCATTTATCTTCTTCTTTTGTAATTGGTTGCATTCCATCTGAATCAGATATAATATTAGATACCAAAATAAAATAGAAACAACATAATTTGTTATTGTAACTCCACTCATTGACGCAGATGATGACACAAAATCAGGCAACATTTAGACCAACAATTGTGCCGCGGAGAAATTGAAACCAAAAATTCAAGAATATCATTATCTATTCAAATACTCAAATAATTATCTGTTTGGATCTCTTTTGGTCGTTTCGGTCGCTTTTCATTCATATAAAATTCATTTTACATCAATCGCAGAAACGAAAAATGTAAATTAACTAAAATGGTGTTGGACTGAAAAACCTTTAAATTGATTCATGTCAAATAGATAACAGATCAAATACAACCTATAAAACTAATTCCGTTGAATTGAGCGCCACTATCCCGCTTTCATTTCGCAAAACCAAAATCGATTTATAAACGTTTTTCGATTCGTTATTGCACGGTGTGAAATGAGAGCTGTAGGACATGCCACATAAATTATCCAATATACAATTCTATTACGAATGTGAAAATGTAAAATAGGAATATCCACGTGCGCCGCACGAATCATTTGATTCATAAAATGCGCATGTTTAACTAATGTTTCAGATGTGAACTTTGAAACCCGGTGTGACGCAAAGGACGAAGAAAATACATTTTACTAGTATACTTTGTTCGTTGTGAATCTAAACGAGCTCAATTTTCAGTTCTATTTGCTTTGCATTACATTTCTCTATCTCTCTCTATCTCTCGCTTTATCTTCTCTATCATTCTGTCCCTCTTTTCGTCACTCTCGTTCTCGTTGGCAATATCTTTTGTTCGTTTGTTTTGAATTAATTTGCTTCTCGTTTACTAAGCAATTGTAAAGTGTGTGTGTGTGTCTTTGTATTGAATTTTCAATCTGCCAGCTAATTTCCATGTCAGATTGTAAACATTTTGCGATAAACAATTTGCATGCAAAACGATACAAACCGAACGTGTTTTCGAATATACAAATTAATGTTGACAGCAACGAAGCAAGAACTTTTAAAAACAAGATCAAAGCGTTTACAGTAACAAGTGTTCTCTCGCCTTCTTGTAAAATGAAGCAGAACAGAAGAAGAAGAAGCGAAAAAAATCTCCACAATTTGTGAAATGAAAATTAGCTTATCTCAATTTAAGAATACTTATCCTTTATCAACGTCTTTAAAACAAACGCCCATTTGATGAGTTGGCTAAAATTTCAGCAACAAATATTTTGATCCAAAATAAAAAACAATCAAAAATAAAACGCCCGTTGTTATTGTTGTGTTTTTAAAGTAAATTGGTTTGATTATTAAATACATTTTCAAATAAGTTGCTGCAACGTTTTACAACAGCATTCGTATAACAAATGAAAAGGGTAAAATAGGGGTCGACTCTCAAGTATATATGTGGGGGGAGATAAAACACACATATGGGGGAAATTGTTTAGCAATAATTAATTAATTTTATCAAATCAAAATCGTAATAAATTTGCTTTTCATCGTTCACATTTCCTACGGTAGGCTCTAATCTCACTTCTTCATTTCGTCATCATATTTCTACTGATATAAAAATAATTACTAAATAGAAAATGTTTGTTTGTTTGTTTGTTGTAAAAATGCTAGAAAAATGCGAATATTCTCTTTGTTTTGTTTACAATAATCTCGGTTTTATTTTTCATTCTTTTTTCCTTCTTTAAATTCCCTTTCTCCGTCATTTCATATTATATATCTATATCATTTTCGTCATGATTTGTAAATATTTTTTGCATAATTATTTGTTCGCTTCATTTTCATATTCACTCACATTTAGCCTATCAAATGAATTAATAAATTCAATAAAATCGTATTTCATCTGATTTGAAAGTTTTATTTGTTTTCATTTGTAAATAAGTCATTGTTGTGTATTCAATAGCTTGAGCACTTGTTTGTTGGATGATTTAGTGTTGCACCGTTTATGATGATTAATAACTATAATTGATTGGACGACATTCAATATGAAGAACAATCACATTTTTTTCATTTTTTTTTTTGCTTTCTTTCGATATACTTTGAAATGTATGCTTTCTTCGCAAATTCTGCATGATTTCACAATAGTCATTATTTGTATGCATTTTAAAATATTTCAAAAAGAAATGCACAATTTTTTTGAATTCTATTTTTCTAATTAAAGTTTTTTTTTGATAAAAAATATGATCATTGAAAACCATTTGTATAAAGGATGAGTAATTTCATTTGAAATGTAAGAAAAAAAATACCGAAAAGTTGAACATGATTTCACACATTTTTATAAATTCATAGCTAATTTTCACACGTGCAACAATGTGCAGCATTGGTTATCGGGTTGCACATTTATTTATATATTTTCCTTTTTGTTTTTTGAACGAATGTCAAACATCATATTCGTATTGCATGAGTCATATTCGCATAAATAACATCGAACTTGAAGAGAAGAAAAAAAAATCAACAACAGAGGCATGAATCACCGTCGACATCGAAGTTCATTTCACAAAATGGACAAACAATAACGGAAAACCTTGAAATATTGAAGATACAAATCACTGTTTAAAGTTGAATCTTTTTTTTTTGCAATTGCGAAGTAAAAGTTCAGTGACAAGTATTTGCGCACGCTAAAAGAAAATAATCATTGACGCCGTGGGCTGTACATGCGCGTTAAATAAGAACAGAACTGCATTGAATAAACATTAGCCCTTGAAATATTAATAATCTCGCAAATAATGTGGTGTTTGATTTATTCAATGGCATCCAATGTGTCATGAAACCAGTCGACTGATGGAAAATCGACCAAAAATCACAGTTAGCCGTAGTTACCTGATTCTTTGAAGCGATTTTTTTTTGCTCATCAAACTGTGATTTAGATTGGATTGGCAAGCATTTTAATATTGTCAACATTTCGGACCTCAGAAAGACCTGCAAAGTTTGAATATGGTTTAGACTGCGCAGGATGTATGTTATGTCCGTGAATAAGGCTCAAGACAATGTAATGACTGTTGAATGGCAAAAGTAAAACAAAATAATGCGTTTGTGTGTATGTGTGTTTATGTTTGAAGTGTTTAAAGTTATAAAGAGACAAAATCTATCTAAAACATAAAATCTACGGGGTAGGATATTTGTGTTTTGTTTGGTAATCTGGCAAGGCGTATACAATTCATTTAATATATTAGTTTCTTCAGATATAAATACCTACCTATGTGAGAGCTAAATTGTGTATATGTGTATAGGTGTGTGTCTGTATGTGTGTATGTATTACTCTTGGATTTATTAATGGATTTTTCCAATTGTGTATGTGTGTGTGTGTTTATTTTTTGTTTTTATTCCTACTTCAAAAGTAAAGTGTATATTTATATATGTTTAAATGTACTAGATTATATTTTCCCTAAAACTAATTTCACTATTCGGTTACAATTTTTTGTGTTTATGTGATTCAAAGTTAAAAAAGAAAATTATTCCGTGTAAAACATAAAAATGTACTTTCAGTTGGCCTGCTTTGACCCAATTTAACTTCGTTCTGTTCTGTTCATTGTTTTTTCTTTCTCTATCTCTCTCTCTCTCAATCAGTCCTCACATCATATTCTAATAGATCTTCCTATGATAACGATATAATATGTTTTATTTACGCTAATTTAAATAATGTACAATCGCATACACGATGAATGTGTCTGTTTTTCATCGATCTCCAGTCCCGAATCTCTGTCACATATTCTCAGCCATTTACTCAATGTTTACTTCATTTGTGTTTATTTTACGTTTAACTTTGTTTTGTTTGCATTATTATTATTATTATGATTTTTTTTTTGTTTTGTTTTGTTGTTTTTTATATATATATATTCAATGGCAATATAAATGCGGTCAATTTCCTATGAACAACCGCACTTCTCTACAGCCATATTTGGTATAATGCTATGAACTACATTTTTATTATCATCAAAATACAAAAGACTTAACGGTGACAATTTACGTGGCGAACAGCATGTTTGAAACGATGAACTCAACGAATAAATGTATGTGTGCGGATGCTTTGGCAAAAAGCCAATCGGACATTCACCGGCACAATAGTATGCTTCATAAATGTCGGGAGCAATAATCCAGTCCCATCCAAATTTACGAAAATCAACGCGCAAAGGGTACCGACAACATCTCGTCTGTCTCTCATTTTCCCGACAATCTTTGGCCAAGTGACGTTTTGTGCGATGCTTACGCATGTCTCTTGTCTGAATTTCAATGTAAGGCCGCTGTTTGTATATGCATCCACATCATCATATCGTCATCCATCGTTATTGTTGTTGTATTCATCGTAAACCATCGTTGTCGTCGTCATCGTCGTCGTTTGTTGTCAATTTAAAAGATGCGCCAATATCCAAACGCATCACACGATCATCATCACATCAAGAATATGTAGCGTGAGAACGTGGAGAATTGGCAAAGAGATCAGCCGAAGATGAAAAAAAAATGGCAATGGCCAGGCAAGAAAGAAAAAGAAAGAAAGAAACAAAATGAAACGAAATAAAAAAAAATGAAAAGAAAAGAGAAAAAACAATAAAAATAAACGTTTTTATAGTTTTTAGATATAAAAGCATTCATTTATGGGTTTGTGCACAGTGTGCATGATTGGACGATGGTATTGACGGCTATTCTAAATGATTAATGCCCATGGATCTATAGAGGCGCAACATAGAGCAAAATACGAATGCGAACACGAACAAAATATACTCTAAATATACTATATATATACAGTATACGTCTCTCTGTGTGTATGTATGTGTGTGTGTGTGTGTACAGTATTTAAAAAATGATCTGAACTTACATTCTTTGAATTGGTATCCAATACTAGTAGTTGGCGCATCCATGGCTCCAGAGTTTTAATAACCACTTCTTGAACGATATCTGCCGATTGAGTGTTCACTGATTGATGCTTTTGCTGTTGAATCCACTCGCTCACCATCAGCGTTATATTGAATTGAATCCATTCGCCAGCGCCTTTGGGTATTTCACCGACAAAATTGCTATCGATGCGCGTGTACCTTTGTTGTTGTTGCTGCTGTTGCTGTTGCGGTTGAGCCGTTTTTTTCGATTGTTCCTGATCATTGGTGCTTTGCTATTTTTATTGTTCAAAATGAAAATGCAGAACTTGTTCAATATAATTGGTTTTCTTTAGCCTCTGTTCTCTTCACATATAAGTCTAAATAAGTGTATTTCTTATTTCTATCAAAATATCTATGGGTGTCGGCTGGTGCATTTGAGTGAGTTTAAGTGTGAGAGTGTGTGAAAAGAAAATAACACTTTTTTTCGCGCTTGTTTTGCCATCGATTTTCTCTCTCTATATCTTTCTTTTGAAAATTACAAACAAACATGCCGATTCTCTCACATTATCTAATTCAGAATCAAAATCGTAACAATTATGATACGGAGCAAGCATGATACCCTGCTATCTTATTATTAAACTATGTGTGGTGTTGTGTTAGCGATGTATATCGACCATATTAAAATTAAAAAAAAGAGAGAACAAACCGATTGCACAAAATGCGATAATAAACCACCGATCCCTAATAGCCGATAAGCAGCGCTTCGGCTTAACTCACTTAAGGATATAATTTAGATGAAAGTTTGATTCATTCGCGTCCCTCCTTCTTCTCTCTGTCTTTTTAATTTTGTTTATCGAGAATTGACCGTTCCCGGAATCACAATAATAACGTTTAGCAATTTGGTCACTTATGTATTATTTATGTATTTAAAATGTAGAGGATGCAATTTTTACCTGTTGCTGATGGCGATGTACAAAACGGTTTATGGATATTGATAAATGGTTGTTGTTGTTGTTGACAATTTTGCTGTTGCCATGGACCTTATGAAGTGAATCACTCGATGTTGCGATATTTTGTTCATCTCTTGTGCTCATTGATGTTGATGCTGTTGACATTGGTGCATTTTCATCGCTATTCATTACACCCGTTTTGACATTTGATCGATCGCCACCACCACCACCACCGCCACCATTTCCCGATCGCATCAATAAATTCGGCTCATTTTCAGCCAGCCAATCTTCACCACGCACATACATATTAAATGTCGCACCACTTACGGACAAATGATTATTATTTTTGACTGTAAACTCGAGGATATCACCACGATGTCTTGCTTTTGATACTAAATAAACGAAAGAAAAATAGAGAAAAAAAATATTGTTTTCATTTCAATTGATTGCCGTTTGGAAGTAATTCGACCAATAACTGTAATTATACATAAATGTTAGATTTCAACGACGAAATTGGTAAATGCTCTCTTAATTATGCAAAATAAACGATCAAAGCAATATGACGATGATAAACGCTACAATATTCAGTAAGCACTTGTTTTTATATGCTTTTCGTGATCGAAGACCCCAAAACATATAAGAAATTATATAATTATTGTTTAAGGTCGGTGTTCTTTTTTTATTATCTCCTTCGTTCCCTTTTTTCCGCGTTCGTTTATTGAGCTCGTTTATCGACTATGTACACAATACACATTGCCGATACAAGCCAAACTCTGTCACAAATAGAAATCTCCTTAGCTTTATGCCTGCAAGCTTCTGCCACTCACAAAATATACTACCGCATTTGTTCATTTGAATGAGCCTATTTATTATCGTTCCATTGTGTGCCGAAAGCCAAAACCTAACTAGATTTAATATGTGCTTTACTTTATAATCATTTTGTTTTTTAATGGTCCGGGTGAATATGGAGGTTCACAAAAGAGAAAATCATATCACTTAAGCCATAATAATTTAAATATTTGTTTTATGAGATTTTACAACTGATTTTTTTTTTCATACCAAAACCATTCAATTTGATTTTGACATCGTTTTCTACTTTGCGCAAAAATCACAATCTCAAAAACCAAAAGAAGAAAACAAATCAGTTTCGATTCAATTTCAATTCTCAACCATGGCACGTGTTTGGTGTTTTTTTCAGTAATAGTTTTCTCGCCGAATGGTTTTCGATTTTGTGAATGAATAAACCGTGCACATGATGAATCGGTGCAAGAGGACAGTATAAACCCTTCTAGCGCAAATGCACATGAGTTAATCACTTTATCTATCTATGTATACATATCAATTTATGCCCAACACTTTATATTTAATTAAATTTACATACTTTAAACATTTTCAATATGCTAATTAATGTTTGCGACACTGCAGGCGATTGAGAGAGTCGTTTATTATAAATCTTTGAGTTAAAGTGAAAGAGAATGAAAGAAAAAAAGAGTGTTGGTGTAACGAACTACATCTATTTGTGCATGTATATATTGTTTCACATGCAAATACATATTATGTTGTAACTCTCTCTCTCTCCCTCTCTGTCGATATTTCTGCATTCGGTGATTTTAGCTTCTAGCATTTTTTTTTGATTACATTTCTCTATGTCTTTCGCTCGCTGTCTTGTCGTTCACTCTCCTTTCATATAGAATGAAATTTTTTATTTAAAATAGTCAATCGGTAGTGAGAACTGTTTCGCTGGGTGTGCTTCGATTCATTTTGAAATATTCCTGCATAATCCGTGCATGCTTAAAAAAATTTCTTTCGTGTTTCGTAAGTTTTTTTTCTGCCATTTAAGGTTTTTAATTTGACGATTTGCCGATCGTGTGCGCGCTATCCCTAACATACATTCTCTATTCTCTTTCCGTTGTGTGGCATTTTCACATGATGCACCTTCACGTGCATTCATTCGTCTCTCTCTATCTATCTTCTTATCGAATCTATTATTAAAAAATCACCAATATTAAAATATGTTGTTCAATATACATTTTTGTTTTCGCTTCATTTCTTCAAATTTGATAAAGTTTGTTGCCCTTGATAGAATGTGTGTGTTTGAGTTTATGGCAAATTCGATATTTTGCTTTACACATAATTTAAATTCCAATTTTCTTTTTTCGTTTGTAATTTTCATCCTTCGGTTGCGTGTGCGTCTTTGTATTCTCTGGGATTTCATTGGGAAAATGTGCATCATAGCGATTTGATTACGGTGCAGTGCTTCTCACTCATTTATGGGGGTTGTGCATATATATATATATTTTGCACGAAATTCGATCATATTTTTCAGAATCTCATTGTCCTGTACGTGTTTTTTAACGGATTTTTTGAAAGCACGTTTTTAATGCGAAAAAGGATAAAATAAAAACCATAAGACAACATAACATTTTGTCCGCTACCATTCAACATTTTTCGTATGCATAATATGCATAAATTGTAATGTTGATTACATAAATACACTCTAACACACACACACTCACAGTGATTATGAGGGTGGTTTAGGTTTCAGCGATTTTAGCGATAACATATTGTGCTTATATTATCTTCCTATTGTGTTCCTTTTTGCGAAATAAGCAAACGAAAACAAAAAAAAACCGAAATGAAGTAAAAAATACAGAAATACGCACTAAACGTGTACAGAAAAAAAAATTGTAACCAACGAAAGTTTAATAGGCGAAACTGATCGATCGAAAACTCAACCCATATACGATATATTTAAAAATGCACTTGTAAATTTATATTTCGCAAAAGGGAATAAAAGCACATGAAACCGTCCTTCCATTTTCTTCCTATTTTGTTCGTTCACATTTCTTGCACTCTTGGAGCTATAGTACGACGACCATGTGAAGATTTACGGTGTGGTGTGTATGTTTGTGTGCAATGGACAATTGACTGGGTCCCTGTTACCCAATGCAAACCAAGCAAAAATAGTGCGAAAAACAGAGACAGGAGAGGATTGATTTATTTTCTTTGTGTCTTTGTATGTAATGCCTGCATTAACAATATATATATTTTTTTCAGTGCCGAGTGACTATAAATTATATAATCCCTAGGCAAACGCATGCACACGCAAACATTGCGAATGCAATTCAGAAAATAACTTAAAAAAATAGCAACGACACACACACACACAGCGGCAGTAGCAAATATAAAAGAAAATAAATGCATTCAAGGGTTTCTTGTAACCATTCTTTTTTTTTGCATGCTGCTACATTTGTTCAATTTGTTGTCAATTTTTGAGCGATTTTTGTGTTTTTTTTTTCTTTATTCGTTCGTGGTCGTCATTGTTGCAAGTTTTTCGTTCATTCTAGTTAATTTTTTTTTCTTCAATTTATTGTCTACAAAACGCATGTTGGGAGCCTTGCAGGGACTTGAACACTCTATGGAACACACATGTAAAATAATACACATATTATACTACAAGTATGTTTTTTTTGCTCTTCTCCGTTTCAATATTATATTGTTAGATATCAACTAACAATGTGTAAAATAAATTGAACCCTTTTTAGTGTAAGCGGAGCTCATTTGTTGGTTTTTTTTTCGTCATTTCAGCCATTCTACATACATTGAACACAAATGGAACAAATGAAATATTGAAAAAAAAAAAACCAACGTAACACGTTTAACTGACAGAATAAATCGTTATAATAAGAGATTCACAACTGCACCGTATGTGATCGAAAAGAAAATAACAGAAGAACGCCGTCGTTGTCGTCGGTGCAAGGATAGCTGTGTGTGCGGTTGTTTCTTTATTATATTCATTGTTTGCGCTCTCCTTTTGGTTTATGCTCCCCATCTCGCTCGTTTATTTAATTTTTATTACTTGGTTTCACTTTGTTTCGTGGAAAAATAGCGAAATGCGTGTATATACATGTATTTGTGTGTGTTATACTTGACTTTTTTCGACGTAATTTCCAGCAAAACTAAATATAGAATTCACCAAGTGCATAAACATTTTAGACGGCAATATTTTAACAACAAAATGAAAAGGAATAACAACACAAATTGTGCGCACATTTTTATTTGATATGCGTGGTTAAGATCTTGGTTTAGAATCATTCGAATAATAAAATTCGTCTCCAAATGACGAATCGCCTTGATCTACTATCATTATATGGTTTTTTTTCTCTAGTTCTCATTCATTCTGTCTCCTCATCTATCTTTCTGGGATTCAGTTCACGTTTCCATGGAAGATGAGGAATGAAAACTCTGACTCAATTTTGTTTAGACTAAGAGCGGGCGTCTTACAATCAGAAAACAAAAACATGAAACAGTGTTTGTTTTGGTATTAAGTCATTCGTCGAAATAAGATATTGGCCAAGCGCGTGCATTAAATGTGGGATGTAATTGAAGTACTAATGTACTTACTTATTTTACCTTTAATTAGGCATTTCATACAGAGAGATATTGGAATTGAACACTGTATATCGTTTGTCTGTCGCACGCGCGCGCACACATACATTCGATCACACTTTCAGTGCGTGTAAGTGTATGTTGGCTTTGTGTAATTAATACATGTGAACAGATAAAATTGCATTGCAAGCAAATATACACGGAGACAATATATCAATGCTGAGCGGTATGAAGTATTCTCAAAATTTTTCTAAAAAAATATATGTAAAACAATAATAATCTTTTCCGAAGAATTACTCTACAAAATATCGAATGATCAAGTGTTGCGGAGGAGACACAGAACAATGTAAATCTGACATCATTTGGAAATTGCGTGAAAATGTCCGCCAATATTCCAAGGCGATCCATTCAAAACATGCGTTGGCAAAATGTTGATTGCCAAACACGCCCGGCAACTCGTCTCATTGATGTTACACACGATTTTATGTGTTGCCTCGAACATTTTCCGGCCGCCAATATGCATATATTCAGAGATTTTTTATGAATTTACGTGTTGTTCTTTCTTCTTCTCTTCACTTCATGTATCTCTCTCATGCGGTCGAAATATGCTTACAAGTGCACACGTTTACACAATGGCACTTGCTAGAAGTGAAATATTGTATATACTTACACATAAACAGTGTAGTGAAATTGGTTTGTACAAGTACACACATTTTGCAAAGTGCGCATAATTTACAATGTATGAATTGCTGCGCGAAATTATTATGTGTGTACCAATTTATATATTATATATGATGCACTTGCGACATGCAATTTCCAAAAATAAATATTGTCAATCATTTTTTCGTTTTTTTTTTTGAAAAAACAACAAAAAAAAAATTGAGGCTCAATTATCGCCTGAGATCCACGATCTCCGCAATCACCAGCCAAACTCTCTTTACTCGCTGAATAAATTTAGAGTGCATCAACGCACCGACCTGAAACATACGAGGAAAAATAGTCGAGGTTGTGTATGAGAGAATATGTTGCACATGAACACTGCCGCTTTAATGATCCAACATTATTTTCGAATGACTTGTAGCACAATCTGTCGGGATGTCTGAGCCACATTTCATGTACGGATGCAATCTGCGTGTATGTTGCCTATTATGATGATGATGATGATGATGTGCACATGAAATAATATTGCACATACAAATGAAGTGAAAACACTTTGATGCGCTAACACACTCGTCATTCGACATTTTACTTTCATAATGGTCAGAGAATCAAAAGCCAAATGTGATTTTTGAAGAAAATAAATTAAAAAAAAAAACGGACAAAATTGAGAGTCACAAATTAATGAATTAAATGGGATTCGTCTAGAACTATTTTCTCACTCTCCATTAATTGTCGAAAAATTCCTTTGAATTATTATTTTTTTATATATTCGTTGGGTGTGCGACTCATTGCGTCATTATTAGCGTTTTTGTGAATGAAAAAGGATATCAAAATGCACCTAGTTCATTGGGTAATAATTGCGACAAAAGCGAAACTAAAGCGAATCAATTCATTAAATCGAACCCTTCAAAACAGATGGTAGATGCGGTGTGCGGGTATAAAATCAAAAGAACAACAACAACAAAAAAAAAAAAAATCTGTGACCCAAAAAATCCAAACCGTCGACACTAGAATAACAACAATGAATAAAGAATACAATGGAGAAATAAAAAATAAAATGAAATCAAGTAAATAAAAAAAAGGATATTGTTATCCGCCACGGTGCAAAACAAATTACTATATGTATATACCTCCTCGGCACGGTCATTTGGAATTTGTGAGTATGATTCGATTGAAAACAACACAATTTTTTTTTATTTTTATTTTATTATAACGCGCTTCTACGAAATAATCACATTTGATACATGAAATAAAATAAAAATGATCAACAGTTATAAAAATAACAGCGATTCTAGAACAATAAACCATACACAGCACACAGCGTGCATGTTGAACAAAAGTAGGCAACATTTCGAAATTGAATGTGAGAGCATAAAAGGAATGCACAAAAAAGCGGAATTTTAAAATGTCAGGTGGTATGCCTTGCATGAGCTGACGCTATTATGCGTGTTTTAATTCATTTGAAAACACATTCATTTTTATAATCATTCGAAAAACTCAATATTGATTTTCTTTACGCATTCGTCTTTTGTTCTTTCATCTTTCATCGTCTTTCAATATTTCGCTTTTCGATCGATCAAAATATCTACACACCAAAATTACACAGAGACATGCAGACAGATGTCATCATTTATATTTTTCACTCTTTCTCTCAATCTCTTTCTCTCAAGCAAAACAACAACAACAAAAAATATATGGGACACTTTTCGAATTAATGACGACAACAGCCGAGAATTTGGAACATTTTCAATGGCAATTTGAATGCGTGGTGCGTTTTTTTTTTTTTAAGTGATCGCCACCGGATCAGTATACCATAGAAAAATCTAGTTAAACTGAGTGCGAGCACGGTATGTTGGCATATATCGGTCTCGTTGAATTCGGATTCATTGCAACTTTGCTCATTTCTCCTCATGCCAATCATACACTGCCTGATCAGCGACTTTATCAATTTGCACATGTGTGTGTTCGTTCTTTATCATGCGATCGAGTTGAGCATTTATCTTTATTAATGTTAATATCAATAAGTCGAACATCGTATAAACAAATATACGAAAAAAAAATGAAATGAAATGAACGAAAGAAAGCGAGTAACGAAATGAATTGAAATACTTACATTTTGGAAATGAATAAACAACATCAGTGGTTGAATAAAAGGCTTCGTCAGTCTCTTCGGAACGATCAAAGGACATGTCATCATAATGAAATCGGCTTGATGATCGTAGTTCATCAAAATAATCCATTTTGTAAACGATTCCAGAGCGTTCACCATCGTAATCTTCGCTAAAGTCATTTTCGTGTCTATTTTATAGGACGGTTAGTTTACAAATTTTGTGAATTAATCTATTGCGTTTGACTAACAATGCGAAGAAGAAGAAAAAAAAATACACACAAACGCCATATTCACCGTGAGATGAAAGTACGTTTTTGCGTAAAGAAACAATAATAAATGTTGACTATACCTTGAATGTGCTCCGTTATTGTAATATTGGGGCGGTTGATGGTGATGATGTTGTTCGTGTAGTCCATTTTTGACACCGCCATTGCGATTGTATATGTGATGATGTTGATGTTTATTGTTGATCATAACACCTGGATCGTCGCCTTGCATTTCATTTGTATCGTCAACATCCTCTTCACTCTGTGCACTGTTGTATTCATCGGTGCCATTACGAATGCGAATGTATCTCGAATCTTGCTTTAGATAGAAATTTTCTATCATGTGTTCAGGAATGTGTTCACGACCAGTAATATTTGGTGGACGTTCCAATCCAATACGGGTCAAAATGTGCATTTTAATTGATGCCAAATTTTGTGCTTTCAATTGTTCACGAAATTGACATGATGCACATCGCGAAAATTCTTCGCTATTATCACCATGATTTTCAATGTTCATATCTTGACCAATTTGATGTTGCTCTAATTGCTGCTGTTGCTGTTGCTGTTGATGGTGAAGATGATGATGTGTTGATCGGCCAATTTTTTGACTTTGTGTCTGTGAATTCACTTGGAATTGACTTGGATTGTTATTCGACATAATTGTTTGCAATATATGCGGTGAAACAGTGGTTGAAATACCCTTTCGACCATTATCGTTCGATGTCAATGGTGAATTACTTAAATGGGTTGTCAATGCATCAATATTCGTTTGATTATGCTTGTTATTTAGATCATTTTCAACATTGCGCGACATCAAATTACCATTGGCAACGCACATTAAACAATTTAGAATAAGTAGGTATTTAATAAATATGTTCAGTAGATTTGACCTATGAACAACAGTCAATGGTGAACGTTGCACAAATTTAAGTGATGCTTTTGATGGCGCCGAACCTTTATTACCATCATTCAATAATTGATTGGCATTCGGTTGATTTGTTGTTGTGCTTTGATCAAATGTCTGTTTTGCACAAACGCTGTTTTGTTTAGTTCCATGAACGACAGCCGTTGTTGCTATTTTCCAATTCTCACCCGCTAATTTTGTACTGGATAATTTGCATGGTTGTTTGTGCTGATTTTCAACAATGGCACTGAAATTGTTTTGAATTTCTATCTTTATGTAATGCTGTTCATTACAAAACAATTTATGATTGGATTTCGTTTGCGGTAGAATTTTAATATTGTCGCCCCATAAATAACATGATCCATTAATTGAATTTGGAAAACAGTTGCAGTCAATGGCATTACACTTGGTCTGACTGTGACCGGTTTTAGTGTGGAAAATTGATGGTGATGGATACATATCGGTGTATTGGCGACAACGATGTACACCATACATTTGAATATGATTTTTATGTTGTATTGTTGCAACAATTGAAAATGAATTATATGTAAGCCGGCTTATTGGTTGCACTTGTTGATTATTTTGTAAAGTGGTCGGTGTCAGCATCGATAAACCATCGAATTCAATGTTGTTTGGATTATGAATTTCAAAATTTGAATCGAACAACCATTTCTTAAGCATCACAATGCACGACTGTGACTTTATATCGAACGATTTATATGATGACAATGCATACAAAATTTCACAATTGACTTTATCGACACAGTTTTCGGCACGATCGACACAGTCACAATCATAGCACTCAAATAATAATTGCATAATGGGCTCAATCATAATCCAAAACGACAAACAATAAACAGTCGGTGTGATTGTGTTCTCTTCTTATTAACAGTTACAATCGATTGGTGGATTTTAAATCGCGTGGTGAATGATTTTGGCTTGTTTATTATTCTAGAGTTAGCTTTTTTTCTATATTAAGAGTGTGTATTGTGAGAGCCGTAAATGAATAAACACCGTGAAATGAAAGTAAAAACCAAACAAAATAATTATAACCAATTGTTTGAATGTTTTAATCAACAACTTTGCTGCCGTTTGTACATTTCAGATCAGTGCACACAATGTGTTGAATAAGCTGCTCAAAATCCAACCAAACGTAGTCACACACAAGCACACACCAATTTCTTTGTCGTACTCTTTTTTTTTCCAATTTGTGTGCTTTTTTCCAGTGTTTCTCCTTCGTGTTTTTACTTTTTATGCTGTGTACTTTTTTCTTGCTCTGGTTCGTTTTCAAGAGGCCGTTTTCTTCTGTCTCTATGAGCGGCGCGAGTAACACGAGTCAATATTGAAAAAAATAAACAAAAAAACAAAACGGCATTCGAAAAAAAAAAACGTGAAGTTAACTGCGCGCAAATCAAAATGTGCATGTGCACTTAAAAAAAGGTAGCAACAACATCAAATTGAAAAAGTTTTGTCAGCACCGCAGAGTGTGGCGCAGAGTCTTAATATTTTTTCTGTTGTGTATTGTTCTTTTGATTGGTGTGTGTTCTTTAGTTAGTTTTTATGTTCTTTTCCGACGTTTTCTTTAAATCTTATACGATACAATTATATGATTGATTTGTCAGCCTTTGTGTCGCTCTGTGTGTGCATAAAATTCAAAATAATGACAAATTTATGACGATCGATCACATTAGTGTACTGAGTTTTTTTTTGTTTTTGATTGACACGCACGCCGCTAACAATAACGATGTTGATAATAAACGGTGCCGATTTTCCAAATGGATCTCGTATCACTTTCGTCGAATGTTGGCCAATTTCCAAACGTTATTCGATTAAGTCTTTGAAAATGTCCTTCCGACCGCGGAAACGCTCAGTTTTATTTAAACGATGATCGTTTTCATGTGCATTTCTCTCAAATCAATCAGTTCTTCATTCATATCACAATTCTCACGACAAAAAAAATTGTTTTCTTTTATTATCGATGGTTGTTTCCTTATAAGGATTACAAATTGTTTCTCCACATTCAATAGATTTTATACACAAAATGTCTGTCTCATTCTCATTTAAAACCGAAAATATGTGTCAAAATGTAATTTTAAAATTTGATTGATTGTAAATAAAAATCACACACAATATTTGAAATTTAAGACCGAAAAAAATGTCAAAATACCAACGATAAATTAATTTGAAGAAAAAAAAACCGAAATTGAAACGATATAAAAAAAATTAACTGAACGAATCAAAAAATCGGTAAAAAAATTAAAAAAAAACACAACAGTAAATCGAAAGAATCGACCAAAACGAATCAAAACTCGAAGTGATTGAGGAAAATGTATTAAGGATAATATTAAAAATTGAATCAACCGCTCGTGTGAAGCATTCCGAGCCTACTGGCCATAATTACAGATTAACACACCGTATATAAATGATCCCGGGCGTCGTGCGCGCGATATATACGACTATGTTTTGTATATTTTTTTGTTGTTGGTGTTGTTGTTTTTTTTTCTCGCTCTAAGAGAGAGTATTGTGAGCCAACGAACACACAACGAAAGAGAGCGAGAGAGGGAAGAAGAGAGAATGAGCAAACTCTTTCGCGCGCCCGTACACGCTACATACGGCCATACATTTACCATTTATTTGTACATATATTTTGTATGTGATAATATAGCTCGAGCGCCTAGCGTATTCTCTTCTTTCATTCATTTTCATGCTAAAATGCGGAGCCAAAGACTTCAAATATACGTCAGTTGTTTTATTGACATGAGAGATGGCATTTAAGAATGAACTGGCGAGTACATCGAGTAGAATATACACATTCATGCACCACAAATACACACACATATATGTATAACATGTATGCATGCATATGGGCAATTTTTTTTTTCGTTATGTGTGCAAATGCAAACCGATTTGATTCACCGACTCAAACATGCACACACCAATCATTTTTTTGTTGTTTTTTTTTTTTGTATACACAACAGACGGACGACCTATGACGGGACGAAATATGAGCGAAAGAGTAAGAGATCGCGTATTATGCCGTACTGTTTGGCGTCTTATGTCGCACAATTTGCAATTTCGCACTCGCTCACTCATTGAGCAAGAGAAAATTCTAACTGATTTTTCGTGGGGGTCACACGACGGTCGAAAAAGTATAATTTTTACATCCAATTGAAAATTGATGAGCTGCCAAACGACATGACGAGAACATGACGACATTTGATTTTTGATTACGCTTTGTCTTCTTCTGCTTTGTTTCTCTTGATTCGCATTTGAAAAAGCGACAAATCATTTCATTCACAAATAAGCTTACCACGGTTTTTTATTATTGCTTCCATTACCACTGTTTCATCGAAGGCACGCACAAAAAAAAACTACTCGCTTCCGTTATTTGCTCCAGTTTAGTGCTCGATATGAAAACCATTAAATCAGGGATGATACTTCAATTTACCCCCGAATTGGAAACTTTTTTCCCCCGGTAACCATCAATTGGAAAATGCACGTGCATATAAGCATTTTATTCGTTTGATTATTTGTTTCGATTCGAGCATTGAGAAATTTTTACAAGTGAAACTACAAAATGTTTATATGGTATTTGACGGAGAAAGCAAGCGTTCATCTAGAAAGAGAGGGGGGACAAATACTGTACGGTATAGTCTAACGAAAAATCAGCAATAAAATTCTGTCTGTTTATGATAATGAGGTAACGTTGCGATGACGCGACATTCACGTTTTTATGCACATGGCATGCGGATTGCGCTTTTACGATCGCCACACATTGTATCAATTTTTTTTTTTTGGCCATGCAAACACACCAAAATCATTCTCCTAGCAACTGCCGAATCGCATTTAGAACGGGAATTCGAAACAAACACACATACGAAATAAACGAATAGCATTGAATTAAGATTGTGACTTGCTTAATTATAGGTTAAACACAGATTAAGAATATTCAAGTCTGGGCCAGTTCATACAGTTTACAGTCTTATTATGCATATCATTGTACTTAAAGCAATAGCAGCGGGAATCGAATCAAAAAAGAAGCTATTTGTAGCAATTTATAAGCGCTTTTTTCTGCTCTGGCTCTTGAATGTTGTCAAAACAAAATTTTAAATTATGACAGACATTTATCGAAAGTGTGCATTAAGTTCAGTCTCGAAGAGTCAAAATCATTTTGAATTGAGCATATTCCGAAAATAGAGTGCTCTTTGGCTTAAGCATCAAATTCAGTTTTGCAAGCAAATCAACAAGATCAGTTTCAAGTGCAAATTATTTATATGGAACGGCGATTTATTCGTCAAACACATGTGCCGGCACCAATGCATATCGATAAATAAAAAACAAATCATGTAAAATTGTCATAATAATAAGCAAATCATTTTATTGCACCACAATTCTAAGTGAATGGGAGTTTTTTTTTTGTTCGATTGAACATTGAATTTCAAATGAAATCGCGAAATCAACGAAAAAAAAAAACAACATGCGAGTGAAAACAAACACATAGGAAATCTACACATTAGCCGGTGTGAATTCAATTTCATCGCCGAATCTCTTTGCACTTTTGAGCAAATGCACACAATTAATCGTTTACGTAATTTGATTGAGCGAAATGTTATCCATCACGCGACTGTATGTGTGTGTGTGTGTGTGTGTGTGTGTGTGTGTGTGAGAAAGTCGGTTTTCCATTCGAATCAATTCGATGTGGGATCAGTTATCGAAGTTGGTAATATTTTAACGTTGTTGTTGTTGTTATTCTTTAAAAAGCGAATGTTGGTTTTATGCTTTTTTTCCACCATAGTTTACACAACTTACCAGATGAACATCAGTGATTTCCCTGCAGCTTCGTTAATTCCATCCCAAAACAGTGCACCGAGCATTATTGAAGTTACTGGTTTAATAATTGTCGTTATAATAACGGCATTGTACATAGTTGTATGGAGCGTCCACCTTTCGCAATGTATACCTTACAGTGAAACCTCCCATTAGAGAAACGGCAAGGTCCGAAACAAAATAATAATCAAAAAGTTCAATCCATTCAAGTTTTTTTTTCTTTAGATAAAATAAGTTTTGTATTGATTTTTTCACGTACGTTCTCCATTATTTCAAGGTGCATTTCAATATAGTTGCGCTTTGCCACTATTCGGCGGATTTACTGTATTTGATTTTGTTCGCTGGTTAAAATCAATGAAGAGATGAACAAAATGAAAAGAAACTGGCGTTCGGCAACGAAATAAAATTGAAACGGCCTTTTTTTTTTTTAAATGCAATTTATATTGTTTTTGTTTTTTTTTTTCTGTATATAGAGGGAAATAATATATATTTTCGAACGTTCGTGCTACATTTTTTTATAACTAAGTTTTTCGTCTACCTGCTCAACATATTTTAAATCAAATTCAATCGATTTGCATGACCTTCTCTGAATTTATATGTATATATATATATATTTCTTTTTCTACTACTTATTCATCTTCTTTTTCTTTTCTGCTTGTGAATATTGCCGTTTCGTACGACGATCTGCGGCCAAGAATTTCATAAAGAGGATAATTGAGCGAGAAGTTTTTAAGACAATTTTTTGTTGTCGCCGGAGGTGGAAATGGAATAATCTTGTTTTTTTTTAAGTTTCTTTCGTTTTTTTCTATTGCAATGGTGTTCAATGACTTAGAATTAAAACAGTTTTTTTTGTAATTGTATCTAAATAAATTCAAATCAGATCGATGCTAGTGGTTCAGATTTTGAATAAACGGTTACTATTTTTGGTATTGTTCATGGTTTTACCTTTGACGTCGAAAAAATTCAGTTTAGATTAAACCGTGAATAATTTAAACATACATGCATTAAAATCGTGCGCATTTTATCTCATCGTCAGAGAATCACATTTGTATTTCAAATGGTATTAGTATATTTCAGTAGAAGAAGATGTAGATGAAAGAACGAATTCAAAGTGAAGAGACACGTTTGCTGATTATAGATAAAAAAAAAACCTAGCAAGAAAAAAACAGCAAAGTCTTCAAAATAGATAAAAAACGATTTGTGATGCCAATATGCAATTTCTCATGTTTGTTGCAGCCTTTGTACTTTCGCATTTCTATCGCGGTCTGGATCAAACATATACATTATCTAACTTTTAACATAAATGAATTTACCTTAATTGATGCATTTTATTTTCATTGCTTACCATCGATGACATCGCCGATGCTATGTTGTTTCTTCCATTTCTCACTCTTTCTCTCTCATTCTTTCACTCTCTTTCCCTTTCACACATTCAGTCTACAGTGAGTTTTTGATAAATTCAATAAATAATAGTATGACAGCGACTTCCCAACAATTCAACCTCCCCAATCCTCATTTTTATATAAATTTTTCCAGTGTTAAATTTTAAGAGCATATGCAGCGACTAATTTTTGAATTTATGCAGAAATTGTAAATTTTCACTAGGAATGTATAAACATTGTTTATTAAACATTGGCTTTGATATTTCCAGTTCTTGGCTAAATGACGTAGATACTGTATCCTTTTATCTATTAATAAATGTTCGATTTGGTATTGAAAACTCGCACCGAGTATCGCTAATTAAAATAATAGTTGAATTGAAAAAGGTTCGAGCGTCGACGGTAACGATCATCGATCGATTACGGGGGAGCTTACGGTAATAAAGTACATAAACAATTAAATTAGGAATAAACGGATGGACTGTGACTCGATTTCTTTTTTCTTCTTTTTTTTGCTAATGTCATATCACATATTCATGGTGGAATATATGAATTCTATAAATATAAAAGAGAGAGATATGTTTTAAATTAGATTGAAACACACACAGGAAATGTGAAATACACAGAAGATGCGCGGGATCAAAATGCGCGTGCGGGTTGCGCGCGTTCATGAAACAACTAAGCGAGCACATTCGTATGTGTGTGTCAACAACTTCTTTGAAGGTCATTCAGTGTGATAAGTAAAATAAAATGTGTATCCGAATAAATGTCATTTAAAGGAGATGGAATAAACGGCACCGCGCGCGCATCAATCGGTAATATTCGAAGAAAAGACAAATATAGAGAAACTTGACAACAACAACAGCGCAACACACCAACAACAATAACAAAAGAAAGGAGAGCACAAAAACTCTTCTTTTTTTTGCAGAGAGATAGAAAGAAAGAGTGAGGCGCGAACGCGCGCGCACACGAACGAGTGAGAGGAGGGGAGAACATCAGATAGTACGTAGATGAATTAGATGCTATATTGCGATTGCGATCACAGTGTTGTGGCTGAGACCGAGATTTTGTGATTTTGATTGGTAAATACTGACCGCCAGTGCATTAATCGTTACTTTAAGTAATTTTTTTCTTTCTTTTGTGTATTTCGTGTTTGTCATTTATTCGCATTGTATGTGTATGAGAGCATGAGTGTGTTTTTGTTTGTGTTGTGATCGTTTCGTGATCACACTTAACTTATTCCAAATGCAGCCCAAAGAGTGAGAGAGAGAGAGAGAGAGAGAAATAAAAAAGATAGAAATGTTATATCCGATCATGATCATAGCCTCTTAGTATAATAGTTATAATGATTAGAGGTGGAATGGATCGGTGATTATTTTTTGTGATTAGCTTACACGAGGCTTTTGAATTATTGATTTGTGCTTGATGAGATGATGCCGTTGCATCTCGAAACCAACCGCGCGCGCATTCAAAAGACACACACACACACATTACATTGAGCAAAGAACACGATTAATTGAGTCAGTGTTTCTGTGTTCTGTTGCTGCTGTTGTTGATGTTCTTGTTCATTTTTTTTCGTGTTTTGCCTTTTTTTCGCAATTCTATTTATCTCTCTACTATTTTTGCGACTTTTTGTCTTCTGTTTTGTACATATCGTCCATACCATACTTCGGTTTTCTTTCTTTCTTCTTATTTCAATTCAACTAACAATACAAAATGTGGTAACAACAGAAAGAAAATACAGCAAATTGTCAGTAAATGAATGTGAAACTGAAAAAGCGAGTAATACAAGGAAATGCCTGTTTGATTCGCACGCGTATTATCTGTTCGCATATCTGCTTAGCAAATAAAATAGTTCAATCTTTTTGACATATCTTTCGAATTGGTTTCGTTGTAATGACGAATGTCACTTGCCGTTATGTTTTTGAAACACACACACACACCATTTGATTTGTGTGGCAATCGTAATCGTAATCGCATTATGGAAAATTTCAAGAAGGTATGGAAAATATCAGTGTTACTGCACTGTAGAGCTATAGTAAACATTTATATGTAATTTTTCTCCAATCTGGAAACAATTTAACAACAACGACAAAAAAAAAATAGTGAGCAGCAACAACATAAACGAGAGCAGATACAGATCAATTAAATTGAAAACAAAATCATATCTGCTAACGGATTCCCTGACAAGAACGCAGAATATATATGCTAGCGCGCAAATGTTAAGGTCCATATTTAAGAGAGAGAGAAAAGAGAAGAAAATGACACACGATCAACAACCAATCAGCAGAGAACTAGCCAAACTGTGTGTGCACAAAGCTAGAAAGACACACAAGCTACTGTACCACAAAATATATGTATCATTTTATACCGATGTTGTTGAAGTTATTTTGTTAAGTGCGGAGAGTGTGTGAGATGTGTGTGTGTGTGTGTGTTGAAACAGAGGAGGATTGATGAAGACGCGGAGAGTACAGAGACGAAACAATAACAGTAACAAAAAAAAGTGTAATAACAACTCAACGCAATTGAGAGATGGCACTTACTGAGAGAGCTGCAATGTGAACGATATCATTATCAAAGATATTCATCTCGCATATCTTAAACTCGGTGCGAAAAACCGTCGCCGTTTGTAGTTGGATCAACAATCATATCGCCTTTGTCGATGTCATCGTTGTTGTCGCCGCCACCGCTGCCACCGCCACTGCCGCCACACTCTCTGCAATTTGATGTTTATTTACTTGAAATGTTTCTTTTTATTGTTCAGGTCTTCGATTCAATTATTATCATGATCGTTACTGAATGTTTTATTGGGTTATTGATTTGGAAGAGCCCACTAGGTCAATGACAATGCGACAATGACCAAAGAGACTATGCAACAACACTTGGCGACAATTCCTAGAGTCACACATATAAGAGACACGCTGAAGAGAAGAAATAAAGAGATTTCTCCATTAAAATACAAAAGACGCGAGCGTACACCATCAACACACTTTTGGTTGTCATAAAGTGCAGTTGTTGTTTTTTTAAAATATATGAAAATAATGTTTTTAGTTTTGTTATTATTGACTTTTTTTTTTCTTGTGTTTGTTTGCTTAGATTTGTCTTTTGATAATAATACATTATAAAGTTTTCTTAAAAAACTTATATTATTCCTCATCTCTAATTTGTTACAATGTTCATGTTGTCAATGGGAAAAAAATTATTTAGCAAATAAGTTTAAAGGATGTTTGAAAAGAAGGAGAGTACAATTGTTTATTTAAATTTAGATGGAGTGGTTGGTTTCTTTATTGTCTTTTTTTCTGCATTATTTACTTTTTTTGGTTTTTTTTTTACCCACAAATTCTTTTCTGCTTCTTAAATGTGTTAATTTTCTTCTGGTTTCTTGCAAATTTATTCAATTCAATTTGGTTGTTGTTATTTATATGTTGACTTGTTTTTGCCAAAAGGTTAGTTAAACAAAGAGTGCTTTCTCCTCTCTTTTTATTTCTCTGTCTTTATCTATTCGCTTGAGCTTTTCATTCCATTTCCAATGTTCGATTGAGTACTGTTTATGGGCAGCCACATTCGTCGACAACCATTTTTGGTAGATCACGTTTGATAATCTTCTGATTTTCCTCGTAGTAAATGAGTGACATGCTGGAGAATTTAAGCGGTGTACAACATGGTTGTAAGCCGGTCAAACGATTCATCTTACGATATTCTTCAATCACATGACTATGATACGATCGAAAATTATCCGGTGTTCGGAGACCATTACAATTACCCTGACAATAATTTGCATAATAACCATGCGGTGCAATGATCCAATCTTCCCAACCTAATTCGGCAAAGCTAACATAGAATTTTTGTTTGCAACATTGTCCACGCACCGCCACCGAACAATCGGGTGTATGACGACGTACACGTTTTATTACATTCGGATCGGTATAAATGACTAAGAATGGACGCACCGGATCTGAACTTCCATTTAGTTTCTCTGTTTGGACATTTGAAATTGAAACCGAACAAACCAAATTAATTAAAAGATTAAATATAATTAAATTGAAATGAAGAGTGATACGAACCATTTTGTAATAAATTTGGCTTGGGTCGTGGTTTGGCCGTTTTTATTTGTTTATTACCATCAAACAAATGAATTTTGATGCGATCCATGCAACCGGAACAATCGACAAGAAATCGCAAACGAGTTTTACCACCGTAAGCATACCATTGACGTACGGTTGATGTTACATCTAACTTTTGCCACCCAAGTCGTGACACATGAACACTTTTGCTGGCGCTTAATTTTATATGTTGATTTGGTTCCTGGAATTGTTTAAAATCAATGGTGATTTTCAGATTACATTGGATGATGCTTTATTTTTGATTTTGTCAATTTTCGATTTCATAGTAATTTTCCACAAACGAAATATGCCTTAAAATCAGACTTACCAATGTTGGTTCGACGATATGAAAAACCCACAGTCGAAAAAAATTGGTTCGATGATGTTTGCCATTTCGATGATGTAATCCTTTTGGTTTATGCTTTTTGGGCGATTTTTTATTGTTGATTGCCTCATCAACTTTGATCCAGAGGAATGCACGTCGAACACGTGTATCTGAATTAAAATCCAAATTTAATGGTTGATATTGTGTTTGTTCGGCCTGTGAACTGGTTTGCGATGTGGTCGATTCGGATTTAACAACCATTTTTTCCAGAGCTTTCTTTTCATTTGACACTAAAATCACCGGTTTGTTGTTGTTGCCTTTTGATTTTTTTTATTAAACATTTGTATGTTTGATTTGTAGACGTGTAATTTTGTTCAAGATCGAACAGATAGAAATAAAAACAAAAAAAAAAAACCGAATCAGAAATGAATACAAATAATTTCGAACAAAAAAAAAAGAGAATCGATCGAAATCCTTACCAGTTTCTTTGGCATCCGTTGTTTCAACGACCTGTCTTCGTCGTCGTTTTCGCTTACGTACTTGCGAATTTTCAATGATATCATCATCGCCTTTGCATTTACTTCGCTGTTTCAATGTATTTTCATTGCTATGATTTACATGTGACGTACGTTTGCTCAATTGTACCGTCGTTTCAACGGGTTTTGATTTATTTACGGAATTGTTTGTATTGTCACTTTCATCTAATCCATTGGTCGATACAAATTCAATTAATGGTTGTTGATTGAAATAACTACCTAGAATTACATCGATTACATTTTGATACGCCTTTTAGTATTTTCAGTTGTGCACACATTGATAATATTTCTAATATTTGTGAAAAAAACCATGGACAATCGCACGCGCACACACACACACGGACACGGACACATACATAAATGACCTCTAAATTGGCCGCACATCAAAAAATAATCTACGTTTAGCATCCCATTCTAAGCAAGTGTGTGTGGGGGATAAAACATGGTGTGTAAAGAAAGAGCATGCTCCATTTTAAACCATTTCATGCGACAAACAATTTTTTAAACGAAAACAAAACGAGAGAATATAATACCAACAAATAAAGAGCTATGGTTACAATCATACAAATGCAAATCTATACATCATCAATAAGCGCAATTTTAAAATGTTGACATATGTTAATTTACCTCTTTCAGCAAAAATGATAATTTCACGTGTGCGACCATAAAAATCGTCCGATTCAATGTCATTTGTCTCTTCAAATATGTCCGCAGCATTGAATGGGAATTTTTCATCGTCCATGCGGTGAATGCCGGTGCTGCTGTCATTTTTATTATTTGAAAATTGAGACGCTTGATACATTTCTCGATTTGGATCCTTATTCAATGCACTGACAAATGTAAAAAAAACACGAAATGAAAGTGTGAGAGAAAAAAGAAAGAGTAAAAAACAAACAAAAAAATGTAATGCAGTAAGGTGATAATGAATAAACGTTGAACCGAAACCGATGAATCAACAAAATACTTAAGTAAAATATACTATTTTGCAGTTGCATACATTGGGGGCGTTAATTTATTAGCCGCATTTTTGTTGAGCTTTGGATGATGTTTTTGTTTATGCCGTTGTTTTTGTCGTTGATGTGATTTACGATTCGGATGTCTTCCTGGATTCTCTATCATGGTTTAGAAATAAATTAATAGCCAAAACAAAGACTCACTCACAATTCGTCTTCGAATCATTTCATTTTCGAATTGGACAAGTAAGAATAAATCAGTTTAAATGACAAACAAAAGTTAGTTTACCGTTTGAATGCGGCACATTGTTATCGTCGGCTCGATATAGTGTTTCCATAATAACATGTTTCGGCAGGGTGTTGGTAATGTTGGGCTTTTGTTTAAGTCCGAGTTTCATCAGAATTTGGTATTTAATCGATTCCAATCGCATAAGATAACTGTTTGCACTCGATGACGAACGAATTTTCTCCGTAAACTTATCAGTTTTCTTTTTCATCTTTTTATTTGTCGTCAATTTAATTGTTTCATTCAAACGATCGACTTTGGATCGTTTTTCAATTGTTGGCACTTCATCTTTGGTGGTATTTACGACATTTTCAATAGTATCCTCATTTTTCGTCTTTTCAGCAACCGAAAATCTATGGTTTTTCTGTCGCAATTGTGACAACGGCGACTGTTGCTGATTCGCAGCATTTACAACCGCATCAGTATTCGTACCATTTAAATTGACATGATCAAAATTAAATATGTTTTTAGTAGTACAATTGCTTTCGTTTAAATTGAAATGTTTTAGCTTAAAATTTATAACAATATTTTTGTTGTCAGTAGCATGACCGTCCGTCGTGGTTGCAACGGTGTCATTTACATGGTTTTTAATATTATTGTCATTCATTGTATTGTTAAGAATAAATCTATGATTTGTAGCAAATAATTGAATAAATTGGTTTTGTTTTTTTATTCGTTGAAATTTTTGCTGCTTTAAATTCTGGAAGTTTAACGATTTAGATTTATTGCCACTCGTTTGTATTGCGTAATAATTTTTACGATTGTTTATATTACGACTACTAATTACCTTAATGTAATGTTCAAATGTGGAAATTGGACTATAATTGTTAGTTGAAATATGCGATGCTGCATCGGCACGAATTGGCGTGTCCATAACATATTCATTATTAATGGTTGTTATATTGTTGGTCTTAGATGATTTAGAAAATGGAATGGAAGCAACACTGGCATTGGTGTGCAGCGCTATCATCTTAGCCAATGCTGTTGCAGTCACTTTGGTTTTGTGATTTGCATTATTCGTTGAATCAGTAATAATATTTAAATTATTTTGTAAATTTTTTGCATTTGGACGCACATTTTGATTTTTTAGATAATTAAATTGATCAGAAATATTTGTTAATGATAAATTACCCAATAAACCGGCAATTCTTGGATAATTTTTCAGACTATTTTGAAACGTTGACTCATCCCATTCTTGAATGTCATTATCATCGTCGTCATCAGCACGGTTATCTGCATTTAACGTCGTCGATTGATGATCCACCGATCGTAACGATCTCGGCAGAATGTATATCTTCATGGGTGACGTTGGTGACGACGGGGGTGCTGATGATGATGATGATGATGATGAAAACGATTGTGCGATGGTGTTAATTTTACCATTATTTTCTTCATTGCCATCACCAATGTCGTTCACACAATTCAAACATATCGATGCAATTTTCGCTAATTGAATGCGTTTTATTCGATTGCTGTGATGATTATTGAAATGCAATGGTTTTTGTGAATTATTGTACTTTGAAAAGTCACTTTCAGTATTTGTTGCGTCGATAAGCGCATTATCAATTTGACGTTTGGAAAATTGAATATTTTTCTTATTTAATTTAAATTGAATAGCATTTAATATACTTGGACTGTTTAATAAATTGAAATGATTGTTATAGTTGCTAATATTATCTATGTGGTATAGAAAATAGTAATTTTTTAATTTAGAATTAAAAAAATGATCGTCGAATGGATGAGTTGATGTTCGTTTGGTTGGTGTTTGCTCATTTTCATGCAGATCAGTCGATCGCTTGCGATTATGATGAACAATTTTCGATGAAATTGTTACATTCATTCCATTTATTTCATTAATTTTATGCAAATCGAAATGCTTTTTGAATAATAAATCCCGTAATAATATCGCATTCGTTTGATTTATCAAAATGTTGGTAGTTTTGATGTTGTTTTTTTGTTGTGATTGGCGTGGTTGTTGTTCATCATCATTGTCATCATCATGTTCACTATCATTCTGAATTTTGTTTTGACGTTGAATATTGTGATGGTTCTGTGGCGTTTCGATTAATTGGTCATTTGATGTGATGTTATCCTCCGATACAATGGTCGTTGCTGTCGTACTAATTATACGTTCACTTGAATTATTGATGGTTGATTTGTTGTCTTTGGTTTTGGCAGAAAAATGATATCGTTTCGTCACAAATGCTCTAAATCGTTTTATAACGGAATGATGATGGTGTAGTGATTTTCTAATGGCATCAGGTATTCGGTTGGTATCGTGTTGGTATCCTAATCTATTCAATGTTTGATTTTTTTGCCTCTGTACATGTTGTCCATCAACAGTATTTTGTTGGAACAAATCTAAACTAAAACTAGCATTTGGATTGGTCTTTTTACTACGTGTTATAATTGATATACCAAATTGTTGGCGTTGATGTTGTTGATGTCGTTTAAATGAGCCATTTGAAATATTTTTCACATGATTTACATTTAAAAAATGTTCACTACGTTCGTTGTCACCGTTCAACACATTCAATTTCAGCATTGACGATTTTGAGCGTCGCTTTTGATGCGGAATTCCATTATTTGATTTATGTTGTGGTATCGACGACAACGGATGCCACCAATGGTTTGACAACGATTTCGGTTGTACGGTGGTGGTGGTGGTGTTATTGCTTTCATTTAGATGAATAACACTGTTATCACCACGATCGTTGCTATTGCAATGCACAAAACCCACCAAACTGATCCACAATAGACATACAATTAACGTAATAAAAAACTTTGTAAAGCCACTGTCAATGAATTTATGCTTTACCAATTGTCCTATGCAATACGACGACCATTGTTCTTCTTTCGTTCCATTGAAATTGACGTTCGATGATGATAATGATAATGATGATGATGATTCAATAACAACACTGCTCTTCACATGGATGCGTTTAGATGCGATTGATTTTGGAATGTACAGCATTTCATATTTTGATATCGATTTGATCTGCCCAGTTTTGTTCGACGCTATGTTTGCAAATTTCTCTTGCATTTGTAATAACTATTTGTATGTATGTATATATAGTTTGTGTATATATATGTGTGTGTGTGTGTGTGTGTGTGTGTGTGTGTGTGTGTGTGTGTGT